TCCAGGGGCCACATACAACCTAATCTGATCTCAAGTGGGCCGGACCAGGAGATGCTCTACAAAAATATCCAAAAACGGTACAAAGTCCAACTTTTTGTGCACATAAACACATTTATTTAAAACTTCCTTTAAAACACTATCCTTTAATACTCAGTTTTCTGTTACAAACTTAAATGTAACAGTGAGTTTTCCATAGTGCAAATAATGTAATGTATTTACAATATTACATTGAAAATGGTATTTCACAATATGTATATTAATATTTGTATGTTAGCTTTGTTTTAAGGCTCATTACAGAGAAAACTTGCTCACAAAGGTAAAGTAGACAGAAAAAAGCACTTTAACACAGCACCTCAGCTTAACCATCTTCAGTGTGGTAAGGTCCATGGTTATGTTATTATCACATTAACCATCTTCAGTGTGGTAAGGTCCATGGTTATGTTATTATCACATTAACCATCTTCAGTGTGGTAAGGTCCATGGTTATGTTATTATCACATTAACCATCTTCAGTGTGGTAAGGTCCATGGTTATGTTATTATCACATTAACCATCTTCAGTGTGGTAAGGTCCATGGTTTTGTTATTATCACATTAACCATCTTCAGTGTGGTCAGGTCCATGGTTATGTTATTATCACATTAACCATCTTCAGTGTGGTAAGGTCCATGGTTATGTTATTATCACATTAACCATCTTCAGTGTGGTCAGGTCCATGGTTTTGTTATTATCACATTAACCATCTTCAGTGTGGTACGGTCCATGGTTATGTTATTATCACATTAACCATCTTCAGTGTGGTAAGGTCCATGGTTATGTTATTATCACATTAACCATCTTCAGTGTGGTACGGTCCATGGTTATGTTATTGTCACATTAACCATCTTCAGTGTGGTAAGGTCCATGGTTATGTTATTGTCACATTAACCATCTTCAGTGTGGTAAGGTCCATGGTTATGTTATTATCACATTAACCATCTTCAGTGTGGTAAGGTCCATGGTTATGTTATTATCACATTAACCATCTTCAGTGTGGTAAGGTCCATGGTTATGTTATTATCACATTAACCATCTTCAGTGTGGTAAGGTCCATGGTTATGTTATAATCACATTAACCATCTTCAGTGTGGTAAGGTCCATGGTTATGTTATTATCACATTAACCATCTTCAGTGTGGTACGGTCCATGGTTATGTTATTATCACATTAACCATCTTCAGTGTGGTAAGGTCCATGGTTATGTTATTATCATATTAACCATCTTCAGTGTGGTAAGGTCCATGGTTATGTTATTATCACATTAACCATCTTCAGTGTGTAAGGTCCATGGTTATGTTATTATCACATTAACCATCTTCAGTGTGGTAAGGTCCATGGTTATGTTATTGTCACATTAACCATCTTCAGTGTGGTAAGGTCCATGGTTATGTTATTGTCACATTAACCATCTTCAGTGTGGTAAGGTCCATGGTTATGTTATTATCACATTAACCATCTTCAGTGTGGTAAGGTCCATGGTTATGTTATTATCACATTAACCATCTTCAGTGTGTAAGGTCCATGGTTATGTTATTATCACATTAACCATCTTCAGTGTGGTAAGGTCCATGGTTATGTTATTATCACATTAACCATCTTCAGTGTGGTAAGGTCCATGGTTATGTTATTATCACATTAACCATCTTCAGTGTGGTAAGGTCCATGGTTATGTTATTATCACATTAACCATCTTCAGTGTGTGTAAGGTCCATGGTTATGTTATTATCACATTAACCATCTTCAGTGTGGTAAGGTCCATGGTTATGTTATTATCACATTAACCATCTTCAGTGTGGTAAGGTCCATGGTTATGTTATTATCACATTAACCATCTTCAGTGTGGTCAGGTCCATGGTTTTGTTATTATCACATTAACCATCTTCAGTGTGGTACGGTCCATGGTTATGTTATTATCACATTAACCATCTTCAGTGTGGTAAGGTCCATGGTTATGTTATTATCACATTAACCATCTTCAGTGTGGTAAGGTCCATGGTTATGTTATTATCACATTAACCATCTTCAGTGTGGTAAGGTCCATGGTTATGTTATTATCACATTAACCATCTTCAGTGTGGTAAGGTCCATGGTTATGTTATAATCACATTAACCATCTTCAGTTTGGTAAGGTCCATGGTTATGTTATTATCACATTAACCATCTTCAGTGTGGTACGGTCCATGGTTATGTTATTATCACATTAACCATCTTCAGTGTGGTAAGGTCCATGGTTATGTTATTATCATATTAACCATCTTCAGTGTGGTAAGGTCCATGGTTATGTTATTATCACATTAACCATCTTCAGTGTGTAAGGTCCATGGTTATGTTATTATCACATTAACCATCTTCAGTGTGGTAAGGTCCATGGTTATGTTATTATCACATTAACCATCTTCAGTGTGGTAAGGTCCATGGTTATGTTATTGTCACATTAACCATCTTCAGTGTGGTAAGGTCCATGGTTATGTTATTGTCACATTAACCATCTTCAGTGTGGTAAGGTCCATGGTTATGTTATTATCACATTAACCATCTTCAGTGTGGTAAGGTCCATGGTTATGTTATTATCACATTAACCATCTTCAGTGTGTAAGGTCCATGGTTATGTTATTATCACATTAACCATCTTCAGTGTGGTAAGGTCCATGGTTATGTATTATCACATTAACCATCTTCAGTGTGGTAAGGTCCATGGTTATGTTATTATCACATTAACCATCTTCAGTGTGGTAAGGTCCATGGTTATGTTATTATCACATTAACCATCTTCAGTGTGGTAAGGTCCATGGTTATGTTATTATCACATTAACCATCTTCAGTGTGGTAAGGTCCATGGTTATGTTATTATCACATTAACCATCTTCAGTGTGGTAAGGTCCATGGTTATGTTATTATCACATTAACCATCTTCAGTGTGGTAAGGTCCATGGTTATGTTATTATCACATTAACCATCTTCAGTGTGGTAAGGTCCATGGTTATGTTATTATCACATTAACCATCTTCAGTGTGGTAAGGTCCATGGTTATGTTATTGTCACATTAACCATCTTCAGTGTGGTAAGGTCCATGGTTATGTTATTGTCACATTAACCATCTTCAGTGTGGTAAGGTCCATGGTTATGTTATTATCACATTAACCATCTTCAGTGTGGTAAGGTCCATGGTTATGTTATTATCACATTAACCATCTTCAGTGTGTAAGGTCCATGGTTATGTTATTATCACATTAACCATCTTCAGTGTGGTAAGGTCCATGGTTATGTATTATCACATTAACCATCTTCAGTGTGGTAAGGTCCATGGTTATGTTATTATCACATTAACCATCTTCAGTGTGGTAAGGTCCATGGTTATGTTATTATCACATTAACCATCTTCAGTGTGGTACGGTCCATGGTTATGTTATTATCATATTAACCATCTTCAGTGTGGTACGGTCCATGGTTATGTTATTATCACATTAACCATCTTCAGTGTGGTAAGGTCCATGGTTATGTTATTATCACATTAACCATCTTCAGTGTGGTCAGGTCCATGGTTATGTTATTATCACATTAACCATCTTCAGTGTGGTAAGGTCCATGGTTATGTTATTATCACATTAACCATCTTCAGTGTGGTAAGGTCCATGGTTATGTTATTATCACATTAACCATCTTCAGTGTGGTAAGGTCCATGGTTATGTTATTATCACATTAACCATCTTCAGTGTGGTAAGGTCCATGGTTATGTTATTATCACAGAGAAAGCATCAAACTGACCATGATTCAGTTGAAATGAACAAAACAACTTCCATAACGTGATTCATTCTTAACGACTGCAGCAGTGTCTCTGTGTAAAACACAGTCAAATGTCCAAAAATCATCACCTCCATTTGCAGCTTTGTCACTACACCTGTTTTTACCATCGGTACCAGTCCACACTGTCCAACACACCAGCAACAACAGCAGAACCAGCAGCAGTACCAGCAGCAGCGCTCAAAACTCCTCTGATAGTTTCAGTAACACCACAAATTAATATGTGACATCAGTAACATCAGTCTCTTATCAATGGCAACATGTTGGTAAAAGCGAGTGGTTTCTCAGACCATGTCTGCAGCCTGTGAGAGTTTTAACAAACTCTCTCTCACTGTGCGGCTGCGATGCTAATGCTAATGTTGTTAGCACAGGTAGCTTCCCTTTACAGCAGCAGAACTAACCCCTCGCTCTGGGCACAAACAGACTGCTGTGTCTTCAGGGCCAGACAGGTTTATCTTCTGTTTTCTCAATTCTTCGCTCAAAGTGCCGTATTTTTCGCCGAGTCTTGTAGTTTAAGATGTTATTCCTTCAGCACCGCTCTGGTGGAGCCACTACAGACGCACTGGACTCACCCCTGAGCGCGGCGCTGCGGCGTCGCGTCGCGGAGCCTCGCGTCGCCTCGCGTCGCGGAGCGGCTTTTTAAAATGTATTATTATTATATTTTTACATAAATGAGCCGCGGGCCGTGTCAAATCTCTTGGCGGGCCGGTTCCGGCCCGCGGGCCGTATGAATGACACCCCTGGTCTATAGTGTTCTTGTCACACTTCCTGGGAGTGTGAGTTTGTTACCTCTTTTACTGTGGCTTGGACATGGGCTGTGTCCCAAAGGCAACACCAGTCCATACCGAGGGCTGATCATCTTCTATGTTTGCTATAGAATAGTCTCACACCTGGAGCTAGCAGACATCACAGAGTCACAGCTCAGGGTTTATGTGATCAGATCAAAACACAGATTATCATCCAGACATCGACTTTACAAATCTCCAAAACTACTCAGTGTCTGAAGACCACAGCCACACACACAGATAGACGGACAGACACTTATAGAATAGGTGGAACACTACAATATTGTTCTTTAAGCACACATTTCCATCACGTGTTTGAACTTTGTCACTTTCCACAGATCTTTTTCTCTGCATCGTTTGCATCGTCTGCTTTTCTCATGAAGTGGCTTCGGGACCTAGTGAAGGTTGGGGGCAGCATCTCCTCAAACTTCAGCTCCTATCAGCTGCAGAAGATCCTGGGCTCGGGATGCTTCAGCACAGTCGCCCTCTGTACCAAAAACAACACCGACCAGAAGGTGGCGTTGAAGGTGGTTAAGCATCCTGACCGTGAGGTAAGACGGTGAAACACTTGTTGATTGGACGCCAGTAGGTCTTTTTCACTCGCTAAGTCCCACCCCCGTGTCCCAAACATGTGAATAATATCCGTACAAAAGGATTACTCGATTACTCTTTATGTCTCCAAAGATGAAGCATGTGTGTTGGTGATGTTACTCCAGCGTCCTCCTCTGATTTACGGGAGATTTGTATGAGTGTGGTCCCTAAAACCTGCCGGCCTTTGAAACACAGTCTACTCTTAGGGAAATACTTAAGCCCAACGCACACCGAAACGCCTTGACGCGCGGCAAAAGAGCCGCCTCCTTTATTTTCTATGAGAGAACGCACACCAAGGTTGCAGTGACGCGCGGCGACGCTGGACCGGGCGCCACGATTCAGTTTTGTTGAATCCAGACGCGGCGCCGCGGCTGAAACTGTCCCTCCAAGCACCCGTAGTTTTCTTCTTCTGCGCTTCTTATCACGTAGCTGTGAGCGCGGTCTCAAATTTACACACTTGTCGGCGCTATTGCTCAAGTAAACCGGTCACAATGGACGAGGAAAGCTTGATAACCCAAGTACAGCGTTACCCAGAGCTAGTTATTAGCCTGTTTAAAAAATGGGTCCAAATAGTCTTTTCTTGTAATATTTGCCAGCATAATTTCACGTAAATACTTTGTTTCCTCCCCCAAAATATTAGTAGAAACTTCCAAACGTCACTCACCCATTTCATCTGCGATCAGCTGGAAAAGGACGCTAGCCAAGGCGTTCCGGTGTAATTTGACACATGTCATGAACGCGCGTCAAATGACGCGCCGCGAGGCGCTGCGTTTCGGTGTGCGGTGAGCTTCACACTATTGGAAAGAGTAGATATCTTTACGGCTCACTGATTTTGAACGTTTTGATTGGTTTGAGAAAAAGTCAGATCTTGTCAAAGACTTGGGACGTGTTAAAATGGCCAAGCATGATCAAGACATACTGGCAATGACTCCGGTGGGAGAATGAATAATGCTAACTATCGGTAATGGTTGTATGTTTGCGCCCCCTACAGGCTAATTTCATGAGATACCTGAGTAAGTCTGGATCTGCGTCCCACCACCTTGTGCAATGGTTCTGCAGCTTCGACTTCAATGCTCACTTTTGCCATGAGTTCGAAGTGCTGGATATTGGTCTGGATAAGTCCTCGACTCTGCCGCTCCACCACATCCGGCCAATTATCACACAGGTACAGTATGCACATTTTAATGAGACAAATGTGGTCTTTATTAGGAGTAAACTCAAGGACTTACTTTGCAGATGGCCGACGCTTTGACCTTTTTAAAGAGCCTCAAAATAATCCATGGAGACCTGAATCTGGAGAACATGCTGGTGGATCATGTGAGGAAGCCCCTCCAGGTCAAACTCATAGACTTCGGACAGGCTCGTCTCGCAAAACTCGCCACACAAGGCACTTGTTTCGGGGCACTTTGCTACAGGTGTGTTAGGGACAGTAGCACAGGGACATGGACACACAAGGGACAGACAGTCAAAGGGACAAAGAAGGAACATTAACAGACATTTAATCTACTGCAGCGTGTGGCCTCGGCTCTTGTTGTACAGCCTGAGTCCTGGATCTGTAGTCTGTCAGTTTGTGGGAGAGGATCCCTCCCTCGATGTGGGCCTCGCCGAGGTTTCCCAACTTCTCCCACTGGGTTTTTTTAGTCTAAGGACAATGGTGATGATGCAGGACATTTAAGGACCTGAACATTTATTAACATTCACGGACATTGGACATCCACCCTTTATGGACCAGTGGATTCTGTGTGATTGTTGTTATTGCATTCCTTGTCTTGTTTGATTCTCTGATCTGTGTTGGCGAATCGACAACTTTATAAAGTTATCCGAGATGACAACTGTAGTGATTTGAGGCAATACAAGTGAATTGAAAGTATAATGTATAAATAGAAAGGCCTGTCAGAGAAGTAGATGCAGAAATGAGTTCAGGGAATGTTTTCTCAGCTAGTGCTATGCTTAGTCTGACACTTGCCTTTAAAATACTGTATAATCAAACACTTTCTAAAATTATGTCTTTTAGTTTGGAGAGTCAGTTGTCTGTCTCCCCCTGCCTCTCAAAGCCTAGAGGCCAAAAGAGGAAGCGCGAGGATGAAGACGATGAGGAAGATGTAGAGAAACGTCCTGAGAAACGTTACAGAGGCAAAGGTGTCCTCTATGTGCTGTAAGATCTTGATTTGTTCTTGTTTTCTTAAGCTTTGAACTTCTCTACTGTCTGTGACCTGAAGTATGATGCTTCATCATTAGCTCCATTATCTTTGTTGTGTTGAATCTTGCTTGAATCAAAGGCAGCTTCACTCTCCAACCTAGATCTAAAACATCAAACACATAGATAAAAATGAAGCTGGTCTTTGGTCAAATGGCAGTTCTATGGTGCTGTAAAGTGTGGTCTGTCACTTATTTTAAAGATTCTGGGATATTTGTTTGTGTCCGAAGGGGAATGGGAAGAACCAATCATAGAGATCTTCCTTCATCAGGGACAAAGGCTGAAATCATTGAACATTTTTCACATCTTTGTCTCTCTTCCAGCTCTCAAGCATCTTCCTGCAGTCCAGGCTGTTTCAGACCTGCGCACAACTTGGTACCTGGTCCTGTACCATTTCAGGGACCACTGGTTCCTGGTTCTTCAGCCACTGACCCTAAGTCTAAGTATTTGACTGATGTTTTGGTTCGATGTTAGCGCAGAGTATGACTATCTTTACCACTGCAACTACAAGGTCAACAACTAACTAATACTTTCTTAAATGTTGTCTTTTAGTTTGGAGAGTGACCGTATTCAGTTGCCCTCCTCTCTCCCCGAGACTCCTGAGGTTTCTCGGCCTCGTGGACAAAAGAGGAAGCGAGAAGACGGGAAGGAGGAGAAGAACGTCCTGACAAACGTTACAGAAGAGCAGATCTGGTTTGATCAGGTTTGTAAAGTGTCCTCTATGTACTGTTTGTTCTTGATGTGTCCTTTTGGCTACATTATCTTTGTTGTGTTGAACCAAAGACAGCTCCACTCTTCGACCTGAACATATTGATAGATATTGAAGCTGGTCTTTGGTCGAACAGGTCTAGGTTTCCACATGTTCACATCTCATTCGATTTCTTGACTTATTTAGTCAAACTGCAAATTTGTATTTAAGATGTCTCCTGCAGGTCAAAAAGGAGGTGGACACAACAGCCTCAAGCTGCAAGGGCTCGTGATGGGCTCAAAGGACAATTCCAACAACTGAGCCACAGGTTTTATTCCACTGAAATGGAATTGGTTCGCTGGCGAGTAGCTTTATGCATGATGCACCCAGTGACTGCTGGCCCCGATGCACCTGCATTTTGGAAACAAAAGGTGAAGATGGCTATGGCCAAAAGACCCACAAAGAGCAAGCCTCGAGAGAGAGGACTGAGAGAGAAGCCCCTGAGAGTAAACCTTGAGGGTGGACACGGAGAGAGGACTCCATGATGCATCATATTAAAATGTTGCTGGTTCTTGTGGCCGAGTTAGCGAGCGGCAGAACCTCAGCTTTGTGCTGTTTGGACATAACCATTGAACTTATTGGACAATATTGTTCTACCAATGAACTCATTTCAAAGCAGCGTCTGGGTGTCATTGTGTTCAGGGATTTCAAATGAACTAAACACAGTAAAACAGAACATTTATGGTTCATTTGTTTATTATAATATCATTTAAATTGTGATTTACCCATTGAAAAACATTGACTGGAGAGGACAAGAACTAAAGTGAGTTGGCCAGTACAAAAAGATGGTTCCCAGGCCGTCCAGAACATGTTTTGAGCCAATCACACTCAGTTTAGAGTTTATCAGAGCTGTGTGGTCTGCACTCTGTCGGTGACTTGAGGGGAATCGCTGCCTGAAGAACTTTCATCATACGAGAGAGGGTGAGGGCTCTCGGGTCATGAAGGCATCAGGCTCGGAACTGACAAAATATTGTAGGGGAAGATCTGACCCAAACCCCTGCCCCCTCCGTAAGCAGCCATGGCACACGAAGACACAAAGTCTGGCCCTGCGCTACCCTCCTACCGGCCATCCTGGGGGTAGGCGTCATTACCCACCGAGATGAGGCGTTATCAAATGCTTCATACCTCTGCTAAATGGAATTAAGGACAAAGTGACTAAGTCTGGACCAAGACAAAGGGAAACATCTACCTACGGAGACAGACACATCAAAGACGCACCCTTGCTCTAACTGGATTATAAAGACAATGAGTACGCCACCCCACCCCCTCCTCCTTTGCCGTGAGTGAAACAAACTCTCGGACGGTACTCTGCCCACATCCAATGTGGCCCACATTGGACCTACACATCTAATGCAGAGATTCTCAAATTTATCTAAGATCTGTATGATAACTGTCTGAGTTAACTATGTATGAGTCATAAACATTTAATGTTTTTACTGTGATGTAACCTTGTCTTATACCTCGTCTGACCAATCGGCTGTAGGGGTGTCTATGCAAACAGAATTACCAAAGGAAACGTCCCCCCCCCCAGGGGCGCTCTAAGTATGTAACAAAACGCAGAAAAAGAATTGTGTATGCCCCGCTACGGGCTAAACGGCTTTTATCAACCATCGCCAGATACAGGATCTGAGGTCCTCCTGAGAACAAAAGACCACGTGCCTATCTCCACAACACGTGAGGGACGTAAAGAAAGTACATTTGATACTGGATTGTGACCCACACAATTTTAGTGTCCTGTGTTTGAAACTGCCTTTTGAGTCAATAAACCATTAGCTAAATCCGCTATCAGCCTCTAGAGTTATCAGCTTATATAGCTTAGAAATCCCTGGCGGAAAAGAACCCGTGCCTGCAGAATAGTGAGACTGAAAACAACGCAATTTTAATTAGATCTTAAATGTCTCCTTTTGAGACCGGTGCCCTCGTTTCAAGGTAAAACTACTCCATCTTTACTGGTTCTAATCAAGCACATATCTGTGAAAGCAGACAAAAGGCTATTCTACTGAATTCTCCTACTAGTAGTTATACTACGTATTGGCGCCCTGTGTGAATCCGTGCAAAATTCTATAAACTGTAAAACTTTTCACTCCTCAAAACTCTGATGGTTTTAGCCTGAAAGCACCGTGCAAAAGCCCACCCGCTCACACACGTGACCGTCCCTCCCCCTCCCGCATACCAACTTTTCGCCTAAGCAAACTCTCCTTCTTACTCTAGTTATTACATGACTCTAGAGTCATGTAATAACTCTACTTATTACATGTATGCTTAAAGATGCAGTAAGCGATTTTGTTAGCTTAGCCGTAGCACCAACTGGAAACTACTCCCCCCCTCCTCTCGCCTCTCCACCAAATCAAAACAACCGGCTCGCGCGTATGTTTGCGGCGTTCACGGGTAGTCCATTAAACATTACAGAAAGTACGGGCCAGAGAACTGTAGAGCAGTAAAATCCAACATGTTTAGTGTTTCTCCTCATGGTCCCTGTGGCTGCTGTGGTCAGACGCCAGTCTTAATGAACTGCGTGAAGCGGAGAGACCCCTATTATAGATCCATGAGAGACCCGTGCACGTGCGGCCGTTGTGAGAATACAGACATTTCTTATCTGCACGAGATAATTATCACAAATTACCAGGGGTCCACAGGTAGCCAAACGGCATTGTTTCAGTCATGTTTAGAAAATCCCAACTCAGGTGCACGCACTCGCAAAAAACAGGAAGAGGGTGAAGGGGGTAAACGCATCCCATTGGTTCGTCGGGATTGAACGACTCCCATTGGTTCATTTTTATCGGCCCGCTCCAAAACATGTTTTTAGTAATTTCTGGAGATTATAGGCATCTGGTTAATTCCATTACTATTTGAAAACACATGATAACTTGACTACTTTTAGGGTTTAGGGACGTTTTCCTAGAATATTTTTTAAAAAATGCGTCTGAAATAAATCACTGACTGCATCTTTAAATAAGGCCTGGATCTGAGACAGAGGTGCAAAACCCGCCCTATTTATCCTCATTTCCAAGATTTCCGGGACGCTAGCTTTTACACAGAAATCAGCCAGATCTACCATTAAGAGTGCTGCTTTAAAAGGCCGACCACGCTCCGCCAACACACACTGTTAGTCACGGCAACACCACTCTACTTGAGACGAGAGCGCACAGGCAACCGCCTTCCACACGTCCTACTCTGAAATCCCCACAAGGAATCAGAGACGCCCACTGTGGGAACACTGCCCCCTAGTGGCAACCATAGGGTATCACACCCTGCGAGAGCGTGTACTGCTCGTTTCACCCGTCCGTTCGCTCCGCGAACCAGACAGACAAATTATTGTAGAGAACAGAACTCTACGCTGCCTCAGCTGTGCTTATGTCTGTATACAAAACTGCAGATTATACCCATGGCTAACCAAATGTCCCATTGTGTGCTATAACAAAAAAACAAAAAAAGGGGAAAAATTGCATGTGAAGTGTATTCCACGTGCGGCTTCATCCATTGCTTCAACTGTTGTGATGTCGACATATCACATTAACAAAACTCAACCGTTTACGTGTGTCAGACACCACCACAACAGAGGAGGAGAACGGGCCACGCAGGCTCTAAATGCTTGTTGTTAAGTGCTGACACACGAACTACTCCCACAATAGGTGACAAGAAGCACAACACAGCCTCCTCCTTAAACATAGATTTGTACACCACTGCACACTCTACTACCTATGTTTCCAGCTTCTCCATATCACAGATCAAACGGAACGGAGGAAAAAAATCTAAAAATCTGCTCACAGCCTTCTCCTCCCACACACCCCCACTCTAACGTAAACAAGACAGTATGTGCGTTTGTTTTGTGCAAATGAATGTGTGTGCTAACAGCTAAGTTGTATGCTAACACTGCCTAACACTCGATAACAACCAAACCCTGTTACTGTTACAGCTAAAACAAGTGGATATGCTATGCCAACAGCTACAGCTCAATGTGTGTGCAAATAACACTGCTACTGCTAACACCTAGAAGCTAAACCCTGTATGCTAACACTGCTACCGCTAACAACCAAACCCTGCTACTGTTACAGCTAAAACAAATGTGTGCTAACAGCAGCTAAAGCTCAGTGTGCATGCCGTCGACAGCTAACAGCTAGTATGCTAACAACAACAGTGTGCGTGCTACCCACAACCATAGACTGTATATATTAACGGACAGAGTCACGCCTATCTCCGCCGTTCTAACTAATGGGCCAAAAAATGTGCTCTACTGGAGCTATCCAAAATGGCCGCGAGTGGTCCCGCCCACAAGAAAATTGTGAAAAAACGCATCTGCGCATGCGTCAGCCGGAGAGAGCTCCATTCATTTGAACGAGAGACTTCAAAAATTCACAGCGACTAAACTAGACTGGTCCAGAACACTCAGCATTGACACACATGTGGAACGGAGCTTTGGGCCAAGAGCCAACTTTTGGTCCATCCTGTAAAGACGTTTTCGAGAGGTCTGCCGACGCTATATGTTAGCATTGGCTAATTCTACTTCTGGGTCCACCCCCATCGGCCCGGGGTGGTATTGCAAGCATGTCAGCGCACGTCATTTTGGCCACTTTTGAGCTGGGACCCGCCCACACTGGTTGAGGCGCTACATTTGTCAGCGACTTTGCTTCTTCAAACAGAGCAGCATAACGATTCCTTAAAACATTGCGTTGCAGCAAAATTCCACTCCCACTTTCATTCTTAGCTTTGTCAACTTTGGATTTAGCCCCGCTTTTGATCCAAAGGTTCTCTTTGTTGATTTTGGGAAAAGATATTACGTCATTATCGTAACTTACATTTTCTGCTGTCAGTCCACTTATCCCATTTTCACACATTGGAAGAGTCCGGTTAAAGCTGCACTAACTGACTTTATTTTTGTATTCAATACAAAAATGCTTTCCATGTCCATGCAGGGCATTGGGATATACGTCCTTTTGAAGAAAAAGTAGCGCAGGTTTGTGCTGGCGTAACATAATATTTTAGATTGAGTTTTGATGAAATAAGGAAGAGAACGTGTTTCGGGTCTCAGATTGTGACCAATCACAGCGGACCACTGGCCCCCCACAAGCTACAGGTCTGTGGTTAGCATCGACGTCTGAGTTAGCACAACAAGCAGCAAAGGCTAACTTGTAGCTTCCCGTGTCTCCGTTACTGCTTACACAGCGAAACATCCATCCAAAAGAAAGTCTCGTCCTCTCCGCGCTTCCCGGTTCTGTCATTCTACGGTCACGCCATCCATGTGCAAAAGTGCCATATTGATCCATATTGTGAGAGGCTAACTTCAAAGCTAACAGCACACCGCACACGGGGAGGGGGTAGTGAGGGAGCTTATCAAAATCAGTTAGTGCAACTTTAACTCCCATTTCTGTTTCCAAAATATCCATCCGTTTTTGAAGAGATTTGAGCTGATATTCCAGAGCACCACAGCCATCGCAAACTTTTCTCCTTTTCTTCCGTCTGGACATGACTAAGGTTGACACATTTCACAAAGTTGAAGTCTGTAGAATGAGTAATCCGTGTTTTGTAGAATAAAAATGTAAATAAAACAATTAAAAGAGATTACAAAGCGAAGCAAGCGGAACAGCAAGGGACACGTCTTCCACAAACACAGACCCGGAAGACCCCCAACTAACAGCTAGTACGCTAACAACAACACCAATGTGCATGCTAACCACAGCTAACAGCTAGTACGCTAGCAGCTATAGCTCAATGTGCACGCTATTTTAAAAGCTAATCATTGTGTATGCTAACCAGTGAGGGAGGGTCCCAGCTCAAAAGTGGCCAAAATGACGTGCGCTGACATGCTGCAATACCACCCCGGGCCGATGGGGGTGGACCCAGAAGTAGAATTAGCCAATGCTAACATATAGCATTGGCAGACCTCTCAAAAACGTCTTTACAGGATGGACCAAAAGTTGGCTCTTGGCCCAAAGCTCAGTTCCACATGTGTGTCAATGCTGAGGGGAGTGTTTTGGACCACTCTAGTTTACTTGCTGTGAATTTTTGAAGTCTCTCGTTCAAATGAATGGAGTTGCGCCGGCTGACGCATGCACAGATGCGTTTTTTCACAATTTTCTTGTGGGCGGGACCACTCGCGGCCATTTTGGATAGCTCCAGTAGAGCACATTTTTTGGCCCATTAGTTAGAACGGCAGAGATAGGCGTGACTCTGTCCGTTAATATATACAGTCTATGGTGTTAAAAGGCTATAACTGCTAACAAGCTAACAGCTAAGTGTGTGAAACGACAGACTAATCTTGACGCAAACCCAACTGCCCCTAACCTTGCCTGCAAGCTGAATTCTCGCGGTATTTGTGTGTTCACAAACACTCGAGAATACATCTTGTACCGCTCCCGCTTACACTTTTCGAGTCGAACCACTGGGTGTGCGAGCCAATCACGCGCCAGTCTGGGGGTTTAGGGCGGGATATCCGGGTTTGACGAAAGCAAGAAGTGCCGGGCCGAAGCAAAACAAACATGGCTACGCAGAAGGACGGACGCAAAGTCAGTTTTAGCAGAATCTCCAATTTCTTTTTTGAAAGATGAACAGCGAGAGGCGCTTTGTACATTTCTGGACGGCAACCTTGGTAGGCGGGCACACAGCGTCACTTCGCCCAATCAGCTTCAAGTATTCTGCTGCTTACCCCTCCTTTCCCCGAAAGGATTCTCCGAGAGAAATCCCAGATTGATATCGCGGAGAACGCGTTAGAGTTCTACACAATCATCAATCTGGCTTTTGCCAGGTTAAACTGCCCCAGGACTGACGCTGCCACACGCACCACACACACACACACAGATACAGAAAACACATACACACACACACACACATTCACACACAGACACAGAGGAACACTTGCATACACATACAGACACACATAGATACACACACACACAGACACAGAGGAACACATACTGTACATACACACACACACACATACATACACACACACAGAGGAACACATACTGTACATACACACACACACACACAGAGGAACACATACTGTACATACACACACACACATACATACACACACACAGACACAGAGGAACACATACATACAGACACAGAGGAACGCATACACACATAGGAACACATACGCACAGATAGGAACACATACGTACAGACACAGAAGATCACATACATACACACACCTCTCCATGCCGACACACTCAGCAACAAGGTCCCGGGTTCGAATTCCAGTCACAACAGGGTCTTTCTGAGTGGAGTTTGTATGTTCTATGTTGTATGTTTCTATCTGCAAAGGTTTCCTCCGGGTGCTCCGGTTAAAATTGGCCAAATTCTCCAGAGCATCAACTTCTGGAGGTGCGTCCCCAGGTCCCCCTGATGGGCCCTAGCAGATGGGATGGGTCAAATGCAGTGGAGAAAAGTGTTACTGAACTTGTACCTCACAGCAAGAAGGTCCCAGGTTCATATGCACCTCCAGACAGAGCCTCCTGCTGATCAGTGTTTTCTTTAATCCACCGTGGTTTATATATAGAGACATATAAATAATACAGAAGAAAAATTGTCAATTAGAATCAAAGGTGTTTCCGACTCGGAGCCGAGAGCTTTGGCGCCTGCTCTACACATCTGCACTGGGGACAAAACACTTCACTGTATTTATTCAAAAGGATTCATTTATTTTCTTCAGTTTTGTACAGTGTAAAAGTCACAAAGACTCAAGAGAAATGGAGCAGGATAATATAAAACAAATATATAGAAATGCCATGCGTGGAGGAAAACAACTCACACAAACATCAAAGTAAAAGTCCATATATTTGAGTGTCTCGATTAAAAACACTTCTTTCCATGAACAGAACCAGGAAATGAGTCATTGACAGTGAAACAAGACGACACATCTCAAACATAAGGCTTTAACATTACACTGCATAAGAAAATACTCCGTAGTCATGGAGACCGTACATCAGGATTAGACAATATACAGATTCATAATTTATATATATATATATGTATAATTTCACACAATTATAGTACAATTCCCTTTTTTGTATAATAGAATGAGACAAGTTATGAATGACCAGCAGTGTTTCAAAGTGCCGCTTTTATCCGTAGAATATATTTCTTTGCTAGAACCTCTATAAAAATAGTCCATCTCGGTCAAAGTCGTGTTATTGCTACAAAAGAATGGAATATGGCACAGACCGCGAGTACGTGGTCAAAGTCAGGGACGTACTGTTAGCACGCAATGAGAACGTCCCAGTGCCACACTACACCTCTGGTTCCCATGGCGACGGACACTGCATCCGTGCCGTGTCACCGGGTTATTCATAGTAAGTAATTTATACGTGTTTTTATTTATTTTATTTTTAACTTTACTCACTTACTTTTACCAAGTGCTAAAACAGTTTTTTGAAAGGTGAAATGCTAAAGACCAAAAATGCTAACGGTAAACGGTGTGTTGCTATGGTAACCAGCACTCGCTCTTCAAAGATAGTACTACTCGTGTTTCAAAAAAAATAATACGATCATTTCTTTAGGATAAAATAAACTACTAGAGAGACACGAAAAGTCACAAAGCTAAGGAGACCAACCAAAAAAATTTTAAATAAAAGACCTTTGGGAATCATCATTACTATTTAACAGTTACGTTTTGACATTAAAACAAAAACAAATGACGAACCCAGGTTTGTCCAATGCAGCCCAAAGTAATTCACAGTGTCATTCAGCCAACTTCAGCTCAGCCAATATACTGTGTGCATGTAATACCTTGCTGTAAAGCTCTGGATTCCAGTCGTTTTAACTTTAATTTTTGTTTTTTTTGCTTTTGATGGTGCCACAACATTTTGCTGAACATTTGTCATTCAGCCAACTTCAGCTCATGTCAAACTTAAATCAATATGGACATGTCACACTTTAACAGCCCAAATCCGGTCCAAACAGTTTCACTATCTGGGTTTTCGGCCCCTGGACAAGTCTGATGAACTAAAGTGGCACTCTTACCAAAACTTTTGGACACCCCTGACATAGTTGAATGATCTTATTTTGCCTAATATGTCCACCAGCTCTACTCTACTCTACTCTAGAACTGATACCAGGGACTCTTTGCTTGATTGCGAAGAGTGAAGAAGAATGGAATAATCCAACCAGGTAGAACCGAGTAGAGTAGGGCCAAGGAGAGCTGGTGGAAACAGGGTTTAACTATACAACCGCAGCCTTTTGGCCTCACAGTAGAAAACTAGAACATCTGGACAAGAGTCGACCTGGTGTCATGGTTTTTCAAATCCGGACTATAAGCCTCTGCTTTTTTCCTGCATTTTGAAGGCTGCGGCTTATGTTTTTTTTTTTTTTTTTTTCTTCTGGGGAGCCAAACACATTCCAGATATAGAACAGCTGGTCAGTTACTCACTTCTTACTCTTATTGCTCACAGTAAAAAGTAGACATAATTTTTTCATACATTTTTCAATATTACATTGCAGGACAGGTGCGGTTTATAATCCGATGTGACTTGTACACGTACATAATTTACTTATAGAAAATTAGAGCCTGTGGTTTATAATCAAGTGTGGCTTATAGTCTGGAAAAAACGGTAGTTACTGTGATGTGTCAGCCACTCCCCCTCCACAAGCTCCACCCACACAGAGCGGGTCATGGATGGAGCAGATTGTCTGAAGCTCAAACTCGAGAGACTCAGTGCATCACCAGGTCCACAGGACGCGCTGGAGAACAGGGTGCTGCATTAAATACATTAAACACAATGCTGATGAAAGTGACTTGAATGTAGTTGAATATATTAGCTGTACAGGATTATGACGAGGATAGATTATCATACGGCTGAGAATATTTCACTGATTGTAATACATTTCTGCGTATGAACCACAGACCTTATTGGGAGTCGACTGACAGAGTGTAACGTCACCATAGTGTTAACCTTGATGTGGGAGAATCCGATTTGAGCATAAGCTAGCTGGAGCCGATTTTCTTAAAAGTTCAATTCAATTATCTTTATTTACAAAACTTCCACAAGTCATACACATACTAATTTCTTAGGTTTGTAAGTGCTTTGTAAAAGGGAACCCCCAGGACGCTGCATTAGCTTATAGGTGTTGCCCCAAAATGGTTGCTCGGACAATCTGGAGTTTCCCCCGCAAATTAAGGCATTTGATTGGTCAATCCTTGAATGGCTCATATCGGGACTTACAAAGACAACATCAAAAAATCAACTCCAGGATCACAGAGGGCGCTAAATCCAAAATAGTTAGTGAGACATTTACTGAGCTAGTCAAAACTTTGTACATGAGCACTTCCCTGTGGGGCGTCATTGAGCTAGTGGGTTAGCATTATCCATCTATATACGGCCTAGGTACTAACGCACTTTGAAAATCTCTTCTGGTATGGATACACAAATATTAATAAAAAACAATCCAACCTTGCCTTGAATAAAGACAACACAATTGCTACAGCTCTTTTTTTGGGCATTATTAGTAAAAAGTTCTTTCATGAAATAAACTTAATAAAAATAAATCCTGAATTCAAGTCATTTTGAATGAGAGAAACACATTTGGTATAGTGCACTTTCTAATAGAGTGTGTATCTACTGCATCATAAGGTCTACAGCTACATCTTTAAGTTACCCTGAATACCACTTGGCATTTGAATGGTCTACAATCGCCTGCCTGACCAGCCGAGAGCGACCGGATCCACATGTCATGGACGAGGAAAGAAAACAGGTGAATAAAGAAGTGACGGAGAGTAGAGACTTCCGTGGAAGCAAAAGAAGAAAACAAGTTGTTAGACAGATGTTTGCAGCAGGTCAAGGCCCGAGATCGAATACGCTCCAAGTCGTCCTATTGAAGACCTCAGCCGTGAGCTCTGTGTTTAAAGTGAAAGTAAAATCAGTGAGAAAAGAAATGGTTCCAGGTTGTGTAGAAGTCAAAATCTTAACCCTGTGGCATCTTCAGATACAAATATGCAACATAAAGGTCAATGGTTATGCAACAGAATTATGACTTTTTGGTTGACTGGATTAATGAAGGTACAGTGCCTTGCGAAAGTATTCGGCCCCCTTGAACCTTTCAACATTTCGTCACATCTCAGGCTTCAAACATAAACATATAAAATTAACAAAATTTGTCATGAATCAACAACAAGTGGGACACAATCGTGAAGTGGAACGAAATTTATTGGATAATTTAAACTTTTTTAACAAATAAAAAACTGAAAAGTGGGGCATGCAATATTATTCGGCCCCTTTACTTTCAGTGCAGCAAACTCAGTCCAGAAGTTCAGTGAGGATCTTTGAATGATCCAATGTTGTCCTAAATGACTGATGATGATAAATAGAATGCACCTGTGTGTAATCAAGTCTCCGTATAAATGCACCTGCTCTTTGATAGTCTCAGGGTTCTGTTTAAAGTGCAGAGAGAACCATGAAGACAAAGGAACACACCAGGCAGGTCCGAGATACTGTTGTGGAGAAGTCTAAAGCCGGATTTGGATACAAAAAGATTTCCCAAGCTTTAAACATCTCAAGGAGCACTGTGCAAGCAATTATATTGAAATGGAAGGAGTATCAGACCACTGCAAATCTACCAAGACCCGGCCGTCCCTCCAAACTTTCATCTTAAACAAGGAGAAGACTGATCAGAGATGCAGCCAAGAGGCCCATGATCACTCTGGATGAACTGCAGATAACTACAGCTGAGGTGGGAGAGTCTGTCCATAGGACAACAATCAGTCGTGCACTGCACAAATCTGGCCTTTATGGAAGAGTGGCAAGAAGAAAGCCATTTCTCAAAGATATCCATAAAAAGTCTGGTTTAAAGTTTGCCACAAGCCACCTGGGAGACACACCAAACATGTGGAAGAAGGTGCTCTGGTCAGATGAAACCAAAATCGAACTTTTTGGCCACAATGCAAAACGATATGTTTGTCGTAAAAGCAACACAGCTCATCACCCTGAACACACCATCCCCACTGTCAAACATGGGGGTGGCAGCATCATGCTTTGGGCCTGCTTTTCTTCAGCAGGGACAGGGAAGATGGCTAAAATTGATGGGAAGATGGATGGAGCCAAATACAGGACCATTCTGGAAGAAAACCTGTTGGAGTCTGCAAAAGACCTGAGACTGGGACGGAGATTTATCTTCCAACAGGACAATGATCCAAAACATAAAGCCAAATCTACAATGGAATGGTTCACAAATAGACGTATCCAGGTGTTAGAATGGCCAAGTCAAAGTCCAGACCTGAATCCAATCGAGAATCTGTGGAAAGAGCTGAAGACTGCTGTTCACAAACGCTCTCCATCCAACCTCACTGAGCTCGAGCTGTTTGGCAAGGAAGAATGGGAAAGAATTCCGGTCTCTCGATGTGCAAAACTGATAGAGACATACCCCAAGTGACTTACAGCTGTAATTGCACCAAAAGGTGGCGCTACAAAGTATTAGCGCAAGGGGGCCGAATAATATTGCACGCCCCATTTGTCAGTTTTTTATTTGTTAAAAAAGTTTAAATTATCCAATAAATTTCGTTCCACTTCACGATTGTGTCCCACTTGTTGATTCTGGACAAAAAATAATAATTTTTATATCTTTATGTTTGAAGCCTGAAATGTGGCGAAATTTTGAAAGGTTCAAGGGGGGCGAATACTTTCGCAAGGCACTGTATGTACCCAAGAACCCAAGGAAGCTAATATGCTACTTTGCTAAATTTGGCTACTGAATGCTGCCAAAAATAGCACAGATAATTGAATTCAACAAATATTTTTATGTCTGGGTTCTTACGGGGTCAAATGAAAGGATATGTGTCTTATCATGTTGACAAAAGTGTTACTGATGACATGTCTATAGACGTCTGGCTGGTCAGGCAAGATTTCCACCTTCACCTTCATCTTTCCTCTTAAAAAATTAGACATCCAACTTATTATCAACATAGATTTTCAGTTTTTTTTTATCCCATTTTCTAAAGCTTTGCAACCTGATTTTGCAACTACGTTTTTGCACCCTTTCCAAAACAAATATTTATAGAAATATATGTGCCACAAACACTAAGACCCTTTAAAATTCACATGAACACATATTTCATATTTATATAAGAAAAAAAGTCAGAGCAGGACTGTCCAGTATTTGGGACATGTTGTGACCCACACAGTGAGAGCATGAACACAGGACTGAGACGGTTCCAGGTTTACCCTTCAGTCCACTCGTCTTCTGGTCAAACCTGACAGTTTATGGTTCAAACTTTGGTGCATCTTCTATGATTAGAGCTGAGTGCAGAGGCTCTGGAGGAGAAGGGCTGAGGGGCCTTCACAGTGGTCAGGAGCCAGAGGTGGAGATGCATAGATGGAAGAAGCGGCGGTTCAGAGGTAGGGAGACCAACCACGCCCCCAATCCCAAACATTTACACAACACCTGTTTGTTTTAATTTCAGTTTGAGAAGAAATGTGTGATGAAATATACAATGTTCTCGCTGCTTAAAGGTACTCCGTGTAGTTACTACTCCCATCCAGCGTTGAGATCATATATTGTAATGTACAATACTATGGTTGTTTGACCGCTGTATTTCAAGATGGCGCATTGGCATGTAGAGTCCTCCAGCCTCACGGACATTTATAAGTCAAATTTTAAATAAAAAAATGGTGGGTGTAAATATTCTTGGTTGTTATTAGTTTATCTTATCGCTCCCATTAGTTTACATGTTTTTTCATTTGGACTAACTGTAAAAATTACACAGAGTACCTTTAAAGAAGACATAAGATGCTTCTATCTGCTGTACGCCAACCCCCACTGTCAATAGCCCACCTTTCCAACAGCTCTACTCGGCTCTACTCTCCCCTGATTGGTCCTGTTTAACCGGTACCAGGTACCTTTTTGACACCAGCTTGGCCCTGCTTCTCACCAGGCCGTGCTAGTACTAAAGTGTTATAGCTGACAGTGATTGTCCAAAGAGCTATTGGAAGCCATGTCCACCAATGCATTTCCCTAAATACTGGTGTTGTTAAGATACAGTACCAGATGCCAAAAACAGAATGGAAATAAAACCAGGTAGAGTAGGGCCAATAGTTGAGTTGAGCTGAAAGGGCCGAGAAGGGCTGGTGGAAACCAGGCTAATAAAACAAAAAACCTCAGGTCATGTTTACGGCCAGCAAAAAGCCCTGAGGACCGTAGCTGAATCATCTGCGTGTATCAGGTCCAGAAAAGAAAATTGTAAAATAAAGTTTATAAAAACAGTGGGCCTCATTTATCAACACCGCGGTGAAACATGACATCACCTAAAGAGCGTTCGGCAAAGTGAGCGCGGTATTTATGATCCAGCCGTACGCAGAAACAGCTGATGAGAAATGCGACGTGAGGAAACCAGTGACATTTGATCAATTCAGGATGAATGAGCGTGTGTTTGTTCCAGTGTGTGTTGTTTGTGAGTGTGTGTGTTTGTGAGTGTGGGACAGATGCAAATCAGCCCAAGACTCCGGAGAGGTGCGCTCACTAACATACACTGTCTCAACCAAATGAATAATAAATAGGACAGATTATTGCTTATGCACACAGGACATATCCGGGTTGCGCAGAGCAGATTTTGATTATAGCTTAATTCAAATAAGCACAAACACACTCAAAAGTTAAAAGTAGTTTTCTTGTCCTGTCCCTGTCACTCGCCTTCGCACCTGCTGTCGGGTCGGAGCGAAACTAAACTACACGTTGAAATGGATAAATCACATATCGAGCTTCACTTTGCCGTACGCACACTTCACACACACATTTCTATGTACTGAGCTTTCATAAATGAGGCCCAGACCTTTGACTCTCTCAGAAGGAACCATGTTATGTCTCCTTTTCTTTTGTCAACCAAAATATGAAGAATGCTCCTCAATGTGTTTTCCCTGACTCAATAAAAATCACTTAAATTAACCCCAAAAAAGTCCATGTGGAGCCAGTGTGCGCCCCCTGCAGGTCACAGTGGTCCCATGTGGAGCCAGTATGCGCCCCCTGCAGGTCACAGTGGTCCCATGTGGAGCCAGTGTGCGCCCCCTGCAGGTCACAGTGGTCCCATGTGGAGCCAGTGTGCGCCCCCTGCAGGTCACAGTGGTCCCATGTGGAGCCAGTGTGCGCCCCCTGCAGGTCACAGTGGTCCCATGTGGAGCCAGTGTGCGCCCCCTGCAGGTCACAGTGGTCCCATGTGGAGCCAGTGTGCGCCCCCTGCAGGTCACAGTGGTCCCATGTGGAGCCAGTGTGCGCCCCCTGCAGGTCACAGTGGTCCCATGTGGAGCCAGTGTGCGCCCCCTGCAGGTGACAGTGGTCCCATGTGGAGCCAGTGTGCGCCCCCTGCAGGTGACAGTGGTCCCATGTGGAGCCAGTGTGCGCCCCCTGCAGGTCACAGTGGTCCCATGTGGAGCCAGTATGCGCCCCCTGCAGGTCACAGTGGTCCCATGTGGAGCCAGTGTGCGCCCCCTGCAGGTCACAGTGGTCCCATGTGGAGCCAGTGTGCGCCCCCTGCAGGTGACAGTGGTCCCATGTGGAGCCAGTGTGCGCCCCCTGCAGGTGACAGTGGTCCCATGTGGAGCCAGTGTGCGCCCCCTGCAGGTCACAGTGGTCCCATGTGGAGCCAGTATGCGCCCCCTGCAGGTCACAGTGGTCCCATGTGGAGCCAGTGTGCGCCCCCTGCAGGTCACAGTGGTCCCATGTGGAGATGTGTCGGAGGTCAGCATGAAAGGAGGGGCTGGTCGGGGAGGGGCGGGGCCTGGCTCAGCGGTTTGGTGTGATGGTGAAGAGAGTGGACGTCCAATGGGTCTGCAACACCGCCGACTCCACGTCATGTGACCTCAGCGAAGGAGATGTGGTTCTGTAAAGACCAGCAAGAGGCAGAAACGTTAGACCGCTCTGATATCCGGGACTCCCCTCGCCCCTTCTGTCTAAATGCTCTGTTTTTAAACTTGTTTAGCTAAAACCAAATCTCAGACTAAAAGTTTTCATGCATTTCATAACAAAAGTATTGCCTTCATCTTAGACCACGCCATGTTAGATTGTGTCTAAATGCAGCAGAATGTACTTTACCACTTCCACCACTAGATGGAAGTTTTGCTCATTCGAGTCATCTCTTATTCCACATATTACTAAACTGCTACAACTACATATACTACAACCTTTGCAGACAATATCATTTTTAGTGGAGAAGGCAGAGGCGGCAGGAGGAGATGAGGAGCAAAGGAGGAGGGGCAGAAGTAAGTAATATTTATTTATATAGCGCCTTTCACAGACCAGAGTCACAAAGCGGTTTATAATTGTTATTTTTGGGCACTTGTCTCTCACTCCACACAGAGATGGGAGCGGGGCCAGTACAGGAGGCACATGCCAGAACTATTGTACATGTTTTTAGTGGTAGGGGAAACCGGAGTACCCGGAGGTAACCTACGCAGACACGGGGAGAACATGCAAACTCCACTCAGAAAGACCCTGTTCTGGCCCTGTTCTCATCCTGTGTGAAGGGGGCGAGGGACATGTCTACCACTCCTCCTTCATGTCTAACACAAATCCCCATTCTCTGCCATTCTACACCAGCACCAATATTTAAAGGGCCTCTCATCTTGAATTATATCATTCTATAGACGTTCATGAAATCCACAAACATCCTGTCAGCAGAAGTCAGGGGCTGTCTCTGAACACCCAAACACCTCACAATCCAAATAAGGCATTAAAAAGCGTTTCTTAACACCCGTCCCAGTGTCATTACGGCCTGGAGTGGAGAGATTATGTTGTCCTTGTCTGGATGTTTGCTCCGATCGTGCCTCTGTTTGTTGGGGTTAGCCGCCGCCGGGAGCCCTGACTTCATTTTAGCGCTGATATTAGCATTTAGATTGGAGGATTAGCGCGGAGATGGGCCGTGCTCCCGTTTAGCGCAAAAGGCAAACGCCAATGAGTCCAGCGAGTGAAAAGCGGGTTATGGCGGGAGCTGCTGTTTGGACTCTGAGCTCGTCACATTTCTGCCCGCTGTAATAAAGAACGGATCACCGCCGGCTTCGCTCTGGAATGTGCAGTTATTTATAGACCAAATACTATTGTAACTCACCCCAAAGCCGGGAGTGGGAGAGACACAGGGAAACTGATGGACAGAGCCAAGCCTCTGGACTACAGTTTTTCCTTTCCCTCTTTTATACACGGATCTATACTTTAAAGGTTAATATAGTTAGATATTTCATACTTGCTTATTTATTATGCTAACAATTAGGGCTGGGCGATAAAACGATAACGATATATATCGCGATAGACATGTGTTGGATATCAATAGAGAATGGGGTCAATAGAATGTTCGATAGTTTAACTTAACTCCGTCAGGAAAAACAGGAAGAAAACACCGGAAGTAAAGCCGACTCATAAGCGCATGGCATTGTGGGGGTTGTAGGCGGAGGCTTCTCGACCAATAACAGCCAAGCAGGAACCGCAAAACTTTGTGGGAAATGCAAAAACAACAACAACCGCAGCATGCGTAGCGTCCATGGATCTATAGCTTGTGTTTCAATGCCGTGTCAATGGTTATGCACGTACGTGCGCGGAATAACATGTGCGGCGGCAGAGGCAGTGGACAGACACGATGTATTCGGCGAAAGCAAGAGATTAACTTTTTCCTCGGGAAGCATGTGCGGCACAGAGAGCCGCACGGAGCGGCCACGGGGACACAAGACCCTCAAACAGCTAAACCAGGAGCTAAACCAGGAATAAAAAACCAGGATTAAACCAGGACTAACAACGAGGGACACAGTGTGAACATATTCCTCCAGCCTCATCGCCCCGTGACTGTAAACAAGGTTGCTAAGGTTGGTTAGCCCACACCACAAATATATTTATTTAGGTAAAAAAAAAACTCAATATATATCGTTATCGACCGATATGAATGACTTATATCGTGATATAGTTTTCAGCCATATCGCCCAGCCCTACTAACAATTCTATTATATTTAAGTACAGAGTTATTGTTCACTGCTGTGTGCTCCTCATTCCCACTGTTCTGGAACTGGTGATGCAACACTGAAATGTCCTCACTGTTGGACGAATAAATTATCTCTAATTCTCAAATTTGTATGTTTATATTTATAGTTTTATATTTTTGATGCGTATTTGCAGTTTGTTTGTGGTATTTGCAGTACTACACATTGTACTACTTCCTGTTATCTACAATTGGATGTTTATGTATTTTCTTGTTTAATCACATTTGTATATGTAAATTTTTCTCACTCAAATTTACCAGAGTTGATTTCCAGACATCGATCCGTGGAAACAGGATCTGTGTTTTAGCAAAGGGTATGAATACTTCTGCACATGTGATGTTTTTGTTTTATCTTTAATCATATCAGAATCATTTGTATTGCCAATGTAAGCAACAGGAAGTCACGGACGAGGAAATTACTCCACCATTGTCTTCAGGATAAGACTGAACTTCCTTGAGGAGATAAGATGCTCCTGCTTGGTTGGAATGAAAACCTGCAGCCACTCGGCCATTTGAGGACCGAGTTGCAAAGCCCTGTTGTCAGGTATAGCGAGTAGACTGACAAGAATAATATAGATTTCTTTGATATAAAATGACAAAACAGTTGAGATTAGGGCTCGGCGATATCGCTGAAAACTATATCAAAATAATTCACATCGATCAAAAACAATATATATTGATTGTTTTTTGTATTTTAAACCTGAATAAAACATTTGTCGTGTCGGCGAACACACGTTAGCAGCCCTTGTTTACAGTCACGGGGAATGAGGCTCGGGGAATATGTTCCCAGCACTGTGTCCCCGTTTAATCCTGGTTTAGTCCTGGTTTAGCTCCTGTTTTGGCTCTTTTCGAGTGTCTTGTGTCCCCGTGACGGCTCCGTGCGGCCGCTCTCTGATAGCCGTACGTGCTTCCAGAGAAAAAAGTTCATCTCTTGCTTTCACCGCATGCATCGCGTCTCTGTGTCCACTGCCTCTCCCGCCACACATGCTGTTCCTTGCATGGACGTGCATGACCAGATTCAGATTCAGTTTATTTGCCATTTGCAGTAAAAAAAACCACATTGGAATACATTAGCAAAAGTCTCCAGTGTGCACAGACAAATACAGACAATAAAAGACAGAAATAAAACAAATATTTTAAACAATGGCCGGGTCAAATGCCATTGACCCGGCCATTGAAACACGATCTACAGTATAGATCCATGATGCGGTTGTTGTTTTTGCATTTCCCAGAATGTTTTGCGGTTCATACTCAGCTGTGATAGGTCGAGAAGTCTCTGCCTACATCCCCCAGAATGCTGCGCTCTTCTGACTCGGCTTTATTCCCTGTGTTTTCTTCCCAATTTTTCTAACGGAGTGAAGTTAAACTATCAAACATTCTATCGACCCCGTTTTCTATTGATATCGAACACGTGTCTATCGCAATATATATTGTAATCGGTTTATTGCCCAGCCCAAGTTGAGACGAGTGGTATTTCTGCTTGAATAGACACACTTTGTTGATTTGATGAAAGAGGCCCCTGAGGAACGTGTACTCAAGGCCCCGAGGCAAGCACCTGCTCTGGGAAAATGATCACATTCCTCTTTTGCTTTATTTGCTCAAAGATAACATTTTTAAGGATGGTTCTCCAATATTGAGAGTTTCCCATTTTTTATTATGTTAAAAATGTAATATACAGGTAAGTATTTAAAGTAAGTAGTGTAAAGAAGACACACACACTGCACACAGACACACACACACACACACACACACACAGCACACAGTGGGGTATGGGGAGGGGGGGGGGGGGGGGGGGGTTATTGCCTTTTCCTCCTGAAGCAGAAGAGCCAGTTCAGGCCCCTGAGCCAGTCCACAAACTCTGAGACCTTCTCCTTCAGGTCCCAGCTCTGCGAGACCTCACTGTCCGTCTCCTGAGGACAGCCGCACACTTTACACACACACATGCACATACACAAGACTACACTTACCACACACACACACATACAAAAGACTACACATTATATACACACACAAGACTATACTTTATACACACATACACAAGACTACACGTTATACACACACACACACACACACACACACACACACTTAACACACATTCAAAAGTTTACACTTTCCACACACAAGACTACACTTTACACACGCACACACACACAGATACACAAGACGCCACTTCACACACATTCACAAGATTACAATTACAAGACTACAGCCATACACGCAAATAAGTGTGTGCGCCTCCTCGTGTGCGCCTCCTCGTGTGCGCCTCCTTGTGTGCGCCTCCTTGTGTGAGCCTCCTCGTGTGCGCCACCTTGTGTGTCTGCACAGTAGTGTGGTGCTCTGACCTGGGAGGACATGTACTTCTCCAGGGGGCTCTCCACGCGGCCCAGGTTCAGGGGGGCGGGGCTGGGGGGCTGCTCCGGGAGGTGGGCGTCGTCACCGAGGAGCAGCTTCCCTTTGAAGTTATGCACCACACACACCACCTGCACAGCACCACACACACACACACACAGTCAGCAGTGGGGCTTGTACAGTGCAAATATACAGTGCAGCAAAAAAGTATTTAGTCAGCCACCAATTGTGCAAATAATTTTCATCATTGGTGTAACTTAAAGGTACACTGTGTCAGTTTTAGTGCCATCTAGCGTTGGGATCTTATATTGCAGTCCAAGGTACTACGGAAGCCTTTGATAGAAAATATGTGTATTTGACAGAGCTCCTCAACTCTCAGTTATTCACCGACCTCCAAGGAAAGAATACTTTAGTTTGATAAATGACCGGATCTCTCCAAATGTCTCAGGCACTTGACAGTCGCGTGGAGCCGACTTGTAAACAAGACCACGTTCAGACGCAGCACCCTGCACAGGGGCTCTGAGTTTTACCATGGATCTATTAGATCCATGGTAATTCAGCGAGTTTAGTTTAGTTTAGTTTAGTTTCAGGAGGAGACACTCGCGGTGTATTTGCGTGCACAGGTTACGCACAGGTTGCAAAGACACCAACACAACATGCAGACAATAGTTTTGTGGCGTGTATGGTCTTATATGACCATGTTATCGTGGCGCCATTCGCTCACAGCCGCTCACAGCTGTGTTGTTGTTAGCTGCTCACAACCAGAGCGTCCGCGGAGGAGGCGGACTTCAGTTCACAGCAAACAACAGCCCCACAGTCACGCGCGTATTCTTTTAAAACTTGAATTCCCAGAGGGCCTACCTGCTCTGATGCATCTCACCTTCTCGCCTTCTGAGTGATGTCATGGATAAATGGGCGGGTCATTCGGACATGCGTTAATGGGTTAATTTTTTTTAACGCGTTAATGAAAAATGTAATTAACTTGAGTTAACGCGATAACTTTGACAGCCCTAATTATAATATATAGTTTTACAAACGCGGTGAAAGACGCATGAAGGAATGACGTCTGTGGGAGCTTAAAACTACAATGATCAAAGAAGCAGGAGATATACAGAGCCGTGGCAGGACATGGCTAAAAGCTCATGGAATTATTAGCAGCACAGCGCCCTGTCTGCATCACGGTCCTCGCATTTTTTTTGTTCCTAATCCACCACTGTATTTCAAGATGGTGCATTGACACCGAGGACTCTTCTCTCATGGACATGAGCCTAATTCTAAGCCTATGAAAACAATTTAAAAAACATGGTGGAGGTAAATATTCTGAAAAAGGTCAAATTTTTTGTATGGAGCAACTGTAAAAATTACACAGGGTGGCTTTAACTGTGAGAGAAATGAGAAAATAAATCCAGAAAAACACAGATTATAGTACTAAATAAGTCTTTAGTCAATATATAAAGTCCATCTTAATACTCTGTATAAAAATCTCTGAAAGTCCGTGTGGCCCAGAGACAGCCCCAAAACATCACTGCTCTAGAAAAGACTTGGACCTCTGTCATTGGTACCAAAGGGAATATAACAAATTATTGAGAAGGACTTTTGTTATTGAGTAAATACTTAGTAAATACACCATAATTTGCAAATATATTTTTTTATAATGTGATTCACTGCATTTTTTTTCTTCTTTAATTCCTCATAGTTGAGGCATGTACATCATGTCTGCAGCAGTGTTGCTTCACTAAAGGAAGTGTCTGTTTGCAGTATGAGGAGCACACATCCAGGCTCTCTGGGACCAGGAGAGAATGTGGAGCTTGAAGATCAAAGGTTATGACGTCACCTCCTCCTCTCACTCTTTTTGAAACCGATAGATTTCAAAAGAACGAAAGTTCGGGATCAGAAGAACAACACTACAATCCCTCAAAGTCCAACCTTTGTGAAAGCTGTAGTTCCCCGTCTCCGAGGACAGTTACAGTTACACTATGGGTCTTTACAGCTGTGGATTCAGGCTGCAGTACCGCAGGTGGCCTCTAGTCCATGTGGAGACAGGTCTGAGTCCCACTCAGAGCTGCAGCAGTGTGGCCCCCAGCAGAACCCCAGGGGACTATCTGGAGGTTACACACACACGGCTCTAACAAGCGGAGAGAGCCCTGATGTCACTAACACGATCAGAAGGCTTGACCAAAGCAGTGCATCCTGGGAAACTACATATGTAGGTCACGGAATGTTCTCTACAAGCACTGAGTATTGTATATCTTATGTCATCTTGATGAAGACCATGTGTGTGTGTCTTTGTGAGTGTGTGCGTGTATGTGAGTGTGTGTGTGAGTCTGTGGTGTAACTGTGTCTGAGTGTGTGTGAGTCTGTGGTGTAACTGTGTCTGAGTGTGTGTGAGTCTGTGGTGTAATTGTGTGTGTGAGTCTGTGGTGTAACTGTGTCTGAGTGTGTGTGAGTCTGTGGTGTAATTGTGTGTGAGTGTGTGTGTGAGTCTGTGGTGTAACTGTGTCTGAGTGTGTGTGAGTCTGTGGTGTAATTGTGTGTGAGTGTGTGTGTGGGTGTATGTCAGTGTGTGAGTGTATTTGAGTCTGTGGTGTGTGTGTGTGTGTGCGTGTGTGTGTGTGTGGTACCAGGAAGGTGGCAATGGCGCTGCCGATGATGTACCCTGCGATCACGTCCGCCCAGTGGTTACGATATTCTGCCACACGGTTCAGTCCAGTGAGAAACGCCAAACACAGCAGCCCCAGGGCCAGGAGCGGGGAGGCCAGACGGGTGCCCTGGGACTTCACCACACACGTCACATACATCTGCAGGAGGAGCAGAGGAGGATGTCAGAGGAGGAACAGAGACAGAGATCAGAGGAGGAGGTTAGAGGAGGAGCACAGAGGATGGAGGCCAGACGGGTGGCCTGGGACTTCACCAGACACGTCACATACATCTGCAGAAGAGGAGCAGAGGAGGAGAAGCACAGACAAAGAGGTCAGAGGAGGAGGCCAGACGGGTGCCCTGGGACTTCACACGTCACATACATCTGCAGGAGGAGTAGAGGGGGAGGTCAGAGGATGAGCACAGAGGAGGAGCACAGAGTAAGAGGTCAGGAGAGGAGCAAAGAGGAGCTCAGAGGAGCACAGAGGAGGAGCTCAGAGGAGGAGCACAGAGGAGGAGCTCAGAGGAGGAGCTCAGCGGAGGAGCTCAGAGGAGGAGCACAGAAGAGGAGCACGGCCGGGTCAGGGTTGGACTGGGAATGGTGCTGTATTTTCAAACAGTTACAAACAAAGAACCAAAGCTCCTCCCCTTTTTATCAAGTGGCACAAAAATCAACAACTTCCAGATTCTTCTTTGCCCACGGTACATGTCCCTCTGATTGAGACGCTCAGTACAGGTCAGAGAACAGTGTAATTTACACACAGACCGAGGAGTACGGACCGGAACGAGCAGATCAAGAGTAAATCCACTGGAAGCATTCAGAACTTCACTCTGAACCAGAGCAGACAAAAGGGTTCAAACCAAGCAGACTGCACGTGCTGTGGCATTGTTATTCATCTGTCTATTTATCTATCTATCCATCTACATGCATCTGTCTATCTATCTACATGTATCTGTCTATCTATCTACATGCATCTGTCTATCTGTCTGCATGCATCTATCTATCTATCTAATTATCTATCCATCTATCTATCTAATTATCTATCTATCTATCTAATTATCTATCTATCTATCTATCTACATGTATCTATCTATCTATCTATCTAATTTTCTATCTATCTATCTACATGTATCTATATATCTATCTACATGTATCTATCTATCTATCTACATGTATCTATATATCTATCTACATGTATCTATCTATCTATCTACATGAATCTATCTATCTATCTACATGTATCTATCTATCTATCTATCTACATGTATCTATCTATCTATCTATCTACATGCATCTATCTATCTATCTATATGTATCTATCTATCTATCTCGGAGGTGAGACTTTGAACAGGAAGTCAATGAAGTTGTTTCTTGTACGCCTTTAGCGATCAATAAATGTGTGTGCTAACCTCGGGTCAAATTGATTTACAAAAATAAAACCCTAAATTACTTTTTTTCAAGCTGAAATCTGATGATTTTTCCTCACCTGATCACTTCTTGGTTAATTTTGAGGATTCCTGGAAATGTAAGGTGCAATAAAAATAACATTAATTATCATTTTAAATAATTAGACCCTGTTAGACCCTATTTTAGTGTATTTTTCTTCTCGTTTTAGTGATCTGTGGTGAACCATTTTGACCAGAAGGCAGCACAAGGGTTGTACTAAAGAACGTATCTGTTGAAAGTGTCCCTGTCCATGGTGCTGAAATGTTACTCTCTCACTTCACACTGACCCTGAAGTCTCCTGAACGTCCACAACTGACCTTCTGCTGTTTCCTTTTAACTTCATAACTTCACCAAACTTGTCCAGGGCCGAAACATCAGTGTAAATCTGTTTGAACTGGATCTGACTCGGTATCGTAGAACTGTGGTGTAAGTCAATATGAACATCACAAGTGCAGTTTGTATGGTCCAGGAAATGTTGTGACACAATCAATAACAGAAGTTTGTCTGTAACAGACAAGTCCAAACTAAGGCTCACGGGCCAATTGCGGCCCTCTCTGTCATGTTATATGGCCCTCTGCCTTGCTAACCAACAGTAATCCATAAGCACACGCTCACAATGTCCATCCATCCATCCATTTTCTTCCGCTTTATCCGTTGCCGGGTCGCGGGGGCAGCAGTCTAAGCAGAGACGCCCAGACTTCCCTATCCACACACACTTCCTCCAGCTCGTCCGGGGGGACCCCAAGGCGTTCCCAGGCCAGCTGAGAGACATAGTCCCTCCAGCGTGTCCTAGGTCTTCCGCGGGGCCTCCTCCCGGTGGGACGTGCCCGGAACACCTCCCCAGGGAGGCGTGAGGGAGGGAACAAAGATTGACCGGGAACAAAGATTGACCGGTAAATCGAGAGCTTTGCCTTTCGGCTCAGCTCCCTCTTTACCACAACGGTCCGATACAGCGACCGCATCACTGCGCACGCTGCACCGATCCGCCTGTCAATCTCACGCTCCATTCTTCCCTCACTCGTGAACAAGACCCCGAGATACTTGAACTCCTCCACTTGAGGCAGGACCTCTCCACCCACCTGCAGAGGGCAAGGCACCTTTTTCCGGTCGAGCACCATGGCCTCGGATTTGGAGGTGCTGATTCTCATCCCAGCCGCTTCACACTCGGCTGCAAACCGTCCCAGTGCATGTTGCAGGTCCTGGTTCGTTGGAGCCAACAGGACAACATCGTCCGCAAACAGCAGAGATGAAGTCCTGTGGTCTCCGAACCAGACCCCCTCCGACCCCTGGCTGCGCCTAGATATTCTGTCCATAAATACAGTGAACAGAACCGGTGACAAAGGGCAGCCCTGTCGGAGGCCAACATTCACCGGGAACAGGTCTGACTTACTGCCGGCAATGCGAACACAGCTCTGGCTCCGGTCATACAGGGATCGGATGGCCCTCAGCAGAGGACCTCCGACCCCGTACTCCCGGAGAACCCCCCAAAGGACACCCCGGGGAACACAGTCGAACGCCTTCTCCAAATCCACAAAGCACATGTGGACAGGTTGGGCGAACTCCCATGAACCCTCGAGTATCCGATGGAGAGTATAGAGCTGGTCCAGTGTTCCGCGACCGGGACGAAAACCACACTGCTCCTCCTGGATCCGAGATTCGACCATCGGCCGTAGCCTCCTCTCCAGTACCTTGGAGTAGACCTTACCGGGGAGGCTGAGGAGTGTGATCCCACGATAATTGGAACACACCCTCCGGTCCCCCTTCTTGTAAGTAAGTAAGTAAGTAAGTAAGCTTTATTTATATACCACCATGGAGGCTACCAACCACCTTGGTGACCTCAGACAGGGAGATGGATGTATCCGCCCCAACATCCTCAGCCTCTGCCTCTGAAACAGAGGACGTGACGGGGGGATTGAGGAGAACCTCAAAGTATTCCTTCCACCGTCCGACAATATCCCCAGTCCAGGTTAGCAGCTCTCCACCCGCACCGTACATGGTGTTGGCAAAGAACTGCTTCCCCCTCCTGAGGCGCCGGATGGTTTGCCAGAATCTCTTCGAGGCCGACCGATAGTCATGCTCCATGGACTCTCCGAACTCCTCCCAGTGCCGGGTTTTTGCCTCTGCAACAGCCCGGGCCGCGGCACGCTTGGCCTGCCGGTACTGGACAGCTGCCTCAGGAGTCCCCAAAACCATCATGGCTCGATAGGACTCCTTCTTCAGCCTGACAGCATCCCTTACTGCCGGTGTCCACCACCGGGTTCGAGGGTTGCCGCCGGGACCAGCACCAGAGACCTTGCGACCACAGCTACGAGCCGCCGCATTGGCGATTGAGGCAGAGAACATGGTCCACTCGGACTCCATGTCCCCCTCCTCCGCCGGGACCTGGGAGAAACTCTCCCGGAGGTGTGAGTTGAAAGTCCGTCTGACAGGGGGCTCAGCGAGACGTTCCCAGCAGACCCTCACTATACGCTTGGGTCTGCCAGGTCTGACCGGCTTCTTCCCCTGCCAGCGGATCCAACTCACGACCAGGTGATGATCGGTTGACAGCTCCGCCCCTCTCTTTACCCGAGTGTCCGAGACACGCGGTCGAAGGTCAGATGATACGACAACAAAGTCGATCATCGACCTCCGGCCTAGGGTGTCCTGGTGCCACGTGCACTGGTGGACACCCTTGTGCTCGAATATGGTGTTCGTGATGGACAAACTGTGACTGGCACAGAAGTCCAACAACTGAACACCGCTCGGGTTCAGATCAGGGGGGCCGCTCTTCCCGATCACCCCTCTCCAAGTGTCACTGGCGTTTCCCACATGGGCGTTGAAGTCCCCCAGGAGAATAACGGAGTCCCCGGGCGGTGCACCGTCCAGTACCCCTCCCAAGGACTCCAAGAAGGCTGGGTACTCTGCACTGCTGTTAGGCCCGTAGGCCGTCACAACAATGAGAGACTTGTCCCCCACCCGGAGGCGGAGGGACGCGACCCTCTCATTCACCGGGGAGAACTCCAACACGTGGCGGCTGAGATATGGGGGCCAATGAGAATGGCCACCCCAGCTCGCCGCCTCTCCCCGCGGGAAACGCTCACAATGTCATCCAGCCAACTGTAGCTCTGCCATCGTAGACACTAGGAGTGTGACGATATATCAATTTTTCGATATATTGAAAAATTAAAAATTAGTATCAATACTCAATATATGGCTACATTGCACATCTCCATTCAATTTATCATGAAATAAAGTGTATTTTTTCACTTAACATTTTTCTATTTTATGTATGCCATATATTGACATATTTCTGACCAATATATCGATAATCGTTATATCGTGATATAATCGTTATCGTGAGCTTTGTATCGCGAATCGTATCGTATCGTGAGGTACCCTTAGGTTCCCACCCCTAATAGACACGTTATACCTTGTTGTGAAGCTCAGAGCCTCTGGAATCCAGTCATTGACTTTGTTTGACTGAACTGGCATTTCTCTGTGATTGTAGGATGGAAATGTATCTGGTGGGACAGCATTTGCCATTCAGCCAACTTCAGCTCCACCAAACGTGGACCAATATCACCACGCCATCCCTCATTTTAAAGCTCAGAAAAGCCCAAATCTAGTCTTATTGGCCCCTGGTCACTTATGGTGAATTACAATGGCCCTCTCACTAAAGGTTTGGTCTACAATAACGCCTCGATTCCAAAGGTTCTGAGCTTTGCGAAGAGGTGCAGCATGACTATGTTAGTGGAGATGAAGTTGGCTGAATGATATTGTGAAAGTGTCTCGCAAACACAGTAGCCTTTGAGGTAGACGACCACAGACAATGACACAGTGGCCGCCTTTTGGCCCACAGGCCTTAGTTTGGACATGTATTAAAATAAGTCATTCCCCGTGAACTCCCTTCGACTCATGGTGGACACTTAGATGATGTTGATAAATATCTGTTTTAGATAACGAAACAAAGAGAAATAAAAGCAATGAGTAGGGATCCAAACCACACCATAGATTGTAGGGATATCAATATAACAGTACTCTAACTAGGCATAGATTTGACTGAAATACACAAAACTACGTCCTGTTCTCAGGCCTCGGCGCTGCCCCTGCAGGATGGAGGACGGGGTGTGGGGGAAGCTCTCTCATCTCCACACTAATCATAAATCCACAGTAATGTGGCAGAGCAGATGTCCGTCAGAGAGAGAGCAGATAGTGTCCACAGCTCCCAGAGAACACGGCAGACTGTATCCTTATGGACGCTTTAGCAAAACACATGTACGCACACAGACGCGGCGCGTAAATACCACAATCAGGAGAATATTTACTGCTTCATCTTTTGGAATTGGAAGATAATATACTGTATGAGTAAACAAAAGACAAATCAAACAACGACTAATCATGGAATATACAACAACCATTCAAGAAACAAAGTCAACAATATCACAACTGATGCAAAGGTTTTATTTTCAACGAACAAACCCATTTTAAACCCTGATTTTTGCCCATCGATTTCAACGCACAAACTTGTTGCAGTCCACTTCATGGGGAAGATAAACACAATCAGATACAACAATTTCACAATACTTTTTCCACAGTGAAGCCCGCCACATTCTTTTAGATTCAATCCCCACTCCATTTTTTATGAATCTTTTAAACCTGATGAACTGCTCTCTTCAGCTGCAGCTCCTTTCTGTAGAAGTAAGGATTTTAACAACTACAGTATCCTCTTTTAAATTTCTTCTTAAAACCCACTTTTATCAAACAGCTTTTAACTGTTAGTTTTAAACTTCCGATGCTGTATTTTAATGTCTGCTTTGTCTTTGTTGTGTCTCTTTTGTGTTTTGCTCTGTTTGCTTTGTGTTTCTGTATCTAATTATTCTGACCTTGCATTATGACTGTTTTTATTGTTTATCATGCTGACTGTGCAGCGCTTTGTAAACACTGTTTTTAAAAGTGCTATATAAATAAAGATTATTATTATTATTATTATTATTATTACAGACCAGCAACAACTTGTCAACCATTGTTTTTTGGAAGAAGAGCAAAACATTTTAGAAACATTTGAGTCTGGTTTTAGTGTGAGTAATAGCACCAGAAGGCTAGTGTATCCTGGTTTCTTACACTCTCAAAGATTTTAGATTAAATTATGTTTCAGAAAAGATGACAACGTTGGTTCTACTGGACATAAACACAGCTTTCTATGCAGATTGCACTATTCTTTTATCTCGCCTGAAACACCACAGATGTTCCCTTCTTATCTAACAGAACATTTATGGTAAGTCTGGATAGCTGCTCCTCTCGGGTCCATGAACTCACAAATGTTGTACCCCAGGGTTCAATCTTAAATCGAGTTATTTTTCATTTGTGCATGTTTCCCTGTGGCAGTATCATCAGGGGACGTGGAATTAGCTTCCATTAGGGCTGTGCAATATAACAGTTTGTGGTAATAACGGCCCCCACGGACTGGTGCGCGCGAGCTTAGCCGTCCATGAACCGTTCACCTCAGGTTAATGATGACAGCCGCTGTGGGCAGATTAAAGCTTGGGTACATTTTGGTTGTCCTCACAGAAAGAGTCTCTTATAAAATATATCCTGTAGTTTCTTTTCCAGTTCTGTTTATTATTTCAGTTCTATTGTTATCTTGATATTTTTTTCTAATATCGTGATATGTTTTTCCCTGCCTGATAACCCAGCCCTCGCTTCCACAGTTATGCTGATGATACACAGTAAACCTGGACGGCAGAAAACTTCCTCCAGCTCAACCAGGACATAACTGAGGCTCTAATATTCGGACCGGAGAGAAACTTTTACCCAAACTCCAAACCTCGCCTTCTCTGTCCTCAGCTCTTCTGATCACACCTCTTCTGACCTCCTCTGACCAAACACCAGGTTCAACATGAGACACACAACAAGAGAAATGGAGGGGGTAAGGGGGAGTCATGCGCACTACACAAAAACAGAGCGAGAATGTGTGTGCGTGCATTTCTGTGTGTGTGTGTATTGCATTGGTTTTATATAGCGCTCTTTTGGACTTGCAAAGACGCTTCACATGTCATTTTTTGGTGATAAAAATACTACTGTAGCCAAAGCAGCAGTAGGGCACACTGACAGGAGCGATGTGCCATTGACCCCCTCCGACCACCACCAACCCTTCACACACACACCAGACTCATTCATGTGTGTGCTCAAATGCAGAGGACACATTTTCCTATGGATCAATATCTTAAACTTTCCACATGACACACCCTGACATGGCTCCTCCCACATGACACACTCTGACATGGCTCCTCCCACATGACACACTCTGACATGGCTCCTCCCACATGACACACTCCGACATGGCCCCTCCCACATGACACACTCTGACATGGCTCCTCCCACATGACACACTCCAACATGGCTCCTCCCACATGACACACTCCAACATGGCTCCTCCCACATGACACATTCTGACATGGCCCCTCCCACATGACACACTCCAACATGGCTCCTCCCACATGACACACTCCAACATGGCTCCTCCCACATGACACACTCCAACATGGCTCCTCCCACATGACACATTCTGACATGGCCCCTCCCACATGACACCCTCCAATATGGCTCCTCCCACATGACACACTCTGACATGGCCCCTCCCACATGACACACTCCAATATGGCTCCTCCCACATGACACACTCTTACATGGCTCCTCCCACATGACACACTCCAATATGGCTCCTCCCACATGACACACTCTTACATGGCTCCTCCCACATGACACATCCTGACATGGCTCCTCCCACATGACACCCTCCAATATGGCTCCTCCCACACGACACACTCTTACATGGCTCCTCCCACATGACACATCCTGACATGGCTCCTCCCACATGACACACACAGACATGGCCCCTCCCACATGACACACTCTGACATGGCTCCTCCCACAACACACACTCTGACATGGCTCCTCCCACAATGCATAGTCTGACATGGCTCCTCCCACATGACACACTCTTACATGGCTCCTCCCACATGACACACTCCAATATGGCTCCTCCCACATGACACACTCCAACATGGCTCCTCCCACATGACACACTCCAATATGGCTCCTCCCACACGACACACTCTTACATGGCTCCTCCCACATGACACACTCCAATATGGCTCCTCCCACACGACACACTCTTACATGGCTCCTCCCACACGACACACTCCAACATGGCTCCTCCCACACGACACACTCCAATATGGCCCCTCCCACATGACACACTCCAACATGGCTCCTTCCACATGACACACTCTTACATGGCCCCTCCCACATGACACACTCCAACATGGCCCCTCCCACATGACACACTCTGACATGGCTCCTCCCACATGACACACTCTGACATGGCCCCTCCCACATGACACACTCCAACATGGCTCCTCCCACATGACACACTCTGACATGGCTCCTCCCACATGACACACTCTGACATGGCCCCTCCCACATGACACACTCCAACATGGCCCCTCCCACATGACACACTCTGACATGGCCCCTCCCACATGACACACTCTGACATGGCTCCTCCCACATGACACACTCCAACATGGCTCCTCCCACATGACACACTCTGACATGGCCCCTCCCACATGACACACTCTGACATGGCTCCTCCCACATGACACACTCTGACATGGCTCTTCCCACATGACACCCTCTGACATGGCTCTTCCCACATGACACACTCTGACATGGCCCCTCCCACATGACACACTCCAACATGGCTCTTCCCACATGACACACTCTTACATGGCTCCTCCCACATGACACACTCTGACATGGCCCCTCCCACATGACACACTCTGACATGGCCCCTCCCACATGACACACTCTGACATGGCCCCTCCCACATGACACACTCTGACATGGCTCCTCCCACATGACACACTCTGACATGGCCCCTCCCACATGACACACTTTGACATGGCTCTTCCCACATGACACACTCTGACATGGCTCCTCCCACATGACACACTCTGACATGGCTCCTCCCACATGACACACTCAGACATGGCCCCTCCCACATGGCACACACAGACATGGCCCCTCCCACATGACACACTCCAACATGGCCCCTCCCACATGATACACTCTGACATGGCTCCTCCCACAATGCATAGTCTGACATGGCTCCTCCCACATGACATACTCTGACATGGCTCCTCCCACAACACACACTCTGACATGGCCCCTCCCACATGACACACAATTACATGGCCCCTCCCACATGATACACTCTGACATGGCTCCTCCCACAACACACACTCTGACATGGCTCCTCCCACATGACACACTCTGCCTTGGCTCCTCCCACATGACACACTCTGACATGGCTCCTCCCACAATGCATAGTCTGACATGGCTCCTCCCACATGACACACTCCGGCATGGCTCCTCCCACATGGCTCCTCCCACATGACACACTCTGACATGGCCCCTCCTACATGAGGCCCTCTCAGGTACTCACCGCCAGGTAGAGCGCCCCATAGACGCTGAGTGCGGCCTCTTTGGAGGGGAAACTCTTGCGCGCTCGCAGGATGTCGTCCTGGTTTCCCGTGCACGCCTCCTGGTGGCTGATGTAGCGTAGTGCGTGCTGACAGCCCAGAGCCGTGTAGTTAGGTTTGCACACGGTCAGGAAGTAAGGCGCCAGGTTCCCCGTCACCACCTGCCCGGCGTTCACAAAGATGTCCACAGTGAAGAGGCCAAACACGTACACACCTGAAACACAGAACAGCGTCTCAAACTGGAGTCCGCCAACACGCTTCATATGTAGATGTGACAGGTGATTTAATAACATTTGACACATGGCAATACCCTATACTCAAACTTTGTCTTGTGTCCATCTAGACACACTGGCACCATTTCCCTGTTAAGAACCTGGTGTTTGAGGGCTCATGAATTAGATACAAACTTGCCTCTCTGTATCCTCCCATCCTCCCTTCCTATCCCTCTCTCATCCTTTCTGAGCCTGGGAACACTGTAAACTGTGGCTTTGTTTCGGGGGCAGAAGAGTTTAGCCTCCTTGGAGGTTTGGCTGAGCTCTTCTCCACCAGCCTGGATTCAACTTTTGTGCAATTATCATGTATATCTTTTATGACTTTGAAAAAACTCGCAAAGACACAGGGATCATTATAAATTCGGCCATAACGCATTATCAGGACGAACTGCAACGTGCAAGACAAGAACAAAGAATTATAGTTACAAGTCACATTTGCAGAAGGCTGTGCTCACTGGAAGAATATACATGTTGGACACAGTATTTTTGCACTGAATTCCTTCAGTCAGGTTCAGAAATATTGGGCAATATTGAAACAAGAAAAAAAATCTAAAAGGCTAAAATGTATCGGTATGTACTGTATGTGTGTGGTGCTAGTGTGTCTGTGGACATGTGTGTGTGTGGTGCTAGTGTGTCTGTGGACATGTGTGTGTGGTGCTAGTGTGTCTGTGGACATGTGTGTGTGGTGCTAGTGTGTCTGTGGACATGTGTGTGTGGTGCTAGTGTGTCTGTGGACATGTGTGTGTGGTGCTAGTGTGTCTGTGGACATGTGTGTGTGGTGCTAGTGTGTCTGTGGACATGTGTGTGTGGTGCTAGTGTGTCTGTGGACATGTGTGTGTGGTGCTAGTGTGTCTGTGGACATGTGTGTGTGGTGCTAGTGTGTCTGTGGACATGTGTGTGTGGTGCTAGTGTGTCTGTGGACATGTGTGTGTGGTGCTAGTGTGTCTGTGGACATGTGTGTGTGGTGCTAGTGTGTCTGTGGACATGTGTGTGTGGTGCTAGTGTGTATGTGGACGTGTGTGTGTGGTGCTAGTGTGTCTGTGGACATGTGTGTGTGGTGCTAGTGTGTCTGTGGACATGTGTGTGTGGTGCTAGTGTGTCTGTGGACGTGTGTGTGTGGTGCTAGTGTGTCTGTGGACGTGTGTGTGTGGTGCTAGTGTGTCTGTGGACATGTGTGTGTGGTGCTAGTGTGTCTGTGGACATGTGTGTGTGGTGCTAGTGTGTCTGTGGACATGTGTGTGTGGTGCTAGTGTGTCTGTGGACATGTGTGTGTGGTGCTAGTGTGTATGTGGACGTGTGTGTGTGGTGCTAGTGTGTCTGTGGACATGTGTGTGTGGTGCTAGTGTGTCTGTGGACATGTGTGTGTGGTGCTAGTGTGTCTGTGGACATGTGTGTGTGGTGCTAGTGTGTCTGTGGACATGTGTGTGTGGTGCTAGTGTGTCTGTGGACATGTGTGTATGGTGCTAGTGTGTCTGTGGACATGTGTGTGTGGTGCTAGTGTGTCTGTGGACATGTGTGTGTGGTGCTAGTGTGTCTGTGGACATGTGTGTGTGGTGCTAGTGTGTCTGTGGACATGTGTGTGTGGTGCTAGTGTGTCTGTGGACATGTGTGTGTGGTGCTAGTGTGTCTGTGGACATGTGTGTGTGGTGCTAGTGTGTCTGTGGACATGTGTGTGTGGTGCTAGTGTGTCTGTGGACATGTGTGTGTGGTGCTAGTGTGTCTGTGGACATGTGTATGTGGTGCTAGTGTGTCTGTGGACATGTGTGTGTGGTGCTAGTGTGTCTGTGGACATGTGTGTGTGGTGCTAGTGTGTCTGTGGACATGTGTGTGTGGTGCTAGTGTGTCTGTGGACATGTGTGTGTGGTGCTAGTGTGTCTGTGGACGTGTGTGTGTGGTGCTGGTGTGTCTGTGGACGTGTGTGTGTGGTGCTAGTGTGTCTGTGGACATGTGTGTGTGGTGCTAGTGTGTCTGTGGACATGTGTGTGTGGTGCTAGTGTGTCTGTGGACGTGTGTGTGTGGTGCTAGTGTGTCTGTGGACATGTGTGTGTGGTGCTAGTGTGTCTGTGGACATGTGTGTGTGGTGCTAGTGTGTCTGTGGACATGTGTGTGTGGTGCTAGTGTGTCTGTGGACATGTGTGTGTGGTGCTAGTGTGTATGTGGACATGTGTGTGTGGTGCTAGTGTGTCTGTGGACATGTGTGTGTGGTGCTAGTGTGTCTGTGGACATGTGTGTGTGGTGCTAGTGTGTCTGTGGACATGTGTGTGTGGTGCTAGTGTGTATGTGGACGTGTGTGTGTGTGGTGCTAGTGTGTCTGTGGACATGTGTGTGTGGTGCTAGTGTGTATGTGGACGTGTGTGTGTGGTGCTAGTGTGTCTGTGGACATGTGTGTGTGTGGTGCTAGTGTGTCTGTGGACATGTGTGTGTGGTGCTAGTGTGTCTGTGGATGTGTGTGTGTGGTGCTAGTGTGTCTGTGGACGTGTGTGTGTGGTGCTAGTGTGTCTGTGGACATGTGTGTGTGGTGCTAGTGTGTCTGTGGACATGTGTGTGTGGTGCTAGTGTGTCTGTGGACATGTGTGTGTGGTGCTAGTGTGTCTGTGGACGTGTGTGTGTGGTGCTAGTGTGTCTGTGGACATGTGTGTGTGGTGCTAGTGTGTCTGTGGACATGTGTGTGTGGTGCTAGTGTGTCTGTGGACATGTGTGTGTGGTGCTAGTGTGTCTGTGGACATGTGTGTGTGGTGCTAGTGTGTATGTGGACGTGTGTGTGTGGTGCTAGTGTGTATGTGGACATGTGTGTGTGGTGCTAGTGTGTATGTGGACGTGTGTGTGTGGTGCTAGTGTGTCTGTGGACATGTGTGTGTGGTGCTAGTGTGTCTGTGGACATGTGTGTGTGGTGCTAGTGTGTCTGTGGACGTGTACGTGTGTGGTGCTAGTGTGTCTGTGGACATGTGTGTGTGTGGTGCTAGTGTGTGTGTGGACATGTGTGTGTGGTGCTAGTGTGTCTGTGGACATGTGTGTGTGGTGCTAGTGTGTCTGTGGACATGTGTGTGTGGTGCTAGTGTGTCTGTGGACATGTGTGTGTGGTGCTAGTGTGTCTGTGGACATGTGTGTGTGGTGCTAGTGTGTCTGTGGACATGTGTGTGTGGTGCTAGTGTGTCTGTGGACATGTGTGTGTGGTGCTAGTGTGTATGTGGACGTGTGTGTGTGGTGCTAGTGTGTCTGTGGACATGTGTGTGTGGTGCTAGTGTGTCTGTGGACATGTGTGTGTGGTGCTAGTGTGTCTGTGGACATGTGTGTGTGGTGCTAGTGTGTCTGTGGACATGTGTGTGTGGTGCTAGTGTGTCTGTGGACATGTGTGTGTGGTGCTAGTGTGTCTGTGGACATGTGTGTGTGGTGCTAGTGTGTCTGTGGACATGTGTGTGTGGTGCTAGTGTGTCTGTGGACATGTGTGTGTGGTGCTAGTGTGTCTGTGGACATGTGTGTGTGGTGCTAGTGTGTCTGTGGACATGTGTGTGTGGTGCTAGTGTGTATGTGGACGTGTGTGTGTGGTGCTAGTGTGTCTGTGGACATGTGTGTGTGGTGCTAGTGTGTCTGTGGACATGTGTGTGTGGTGCTAGTGTGTCTGTGGACATGTGTGTGTGGTGCTAGTGTGTCTGTGGACATGTGTGTGTGGTGCTAGTGTGTCTGTGGACATGTGTGTGTGGTGCTAGTGTGTCTGGATCCTGGAAACCTGAAAGAGCATCAGCAGGTATTAAACTGCTGTGAATGTGATGCACATGCTTTAAAGACTTCAGGCTGTATTTAACATTCAAATGATTTTTAAAAGCCTAAAGTAATTGTGTTAGTCTGAACTAAGCCCAAGTTTCCATCATACAAGAAGTCAATGAATCAAAGTTAGCCCTAGCTGCTAGTCCCAGACATGTGCTTAAAATACCTTTGCACCATCAGAGCAGCTGGGATAGAGCAGGTTGTGACCCACAAGGGTGTCAAAATGTCAGATTTTGTCCATAAAATCTGACATTTTGTGTCCTCATGGCATAAATGCCTACATATTTTTTGTCCAAATGGTGAGATCTGCCTATTTTTACTCTCCTTTCAATGCCTCATCATTGCCGCCTTTCCGCCTCGTCCTCGGCCAATCACAACACTTCCAATACACACTCTGCCTAAGTCATTTCTTTTAAGCAGTTTTGAGACCCTAACCCTAACCTTACAAACTAAGTATCTGAAAGCATGAGAAAGACATTGAACATTCTCTCAACTCATTGATTCAAGTTTAGGATATTTCTTGGGGTCATCGTCCAAATGGAACAGATAATGAGGTCCGATGCCACACCACATGCCTCAAACACTCAACATTACAGTCATTTATTGTGTTTATTGTGAGTTACTTGGACTCCCAGAATTCTGAAACTATTAGAACTCCCAGCGCAGAAGTAATTCTGAAAAAATCCCAAAAAAACAGCTTTCGTTTTTCAGATTGTCGTCTTCAGAGCGCCACGCAGAAGCATTTATACGGTAAACAAGTGCTGAGAGTTTGGTTGTGAGCAGTAGAACAGAATAATCAAAGCTGTGAATTTGTAATCATAGAAATCAATTCTAATTTAATATTTTGATTTCCTTAATTAATCTGTCACTAACCTTACAGGACAAATAGGATATACTTGTAGAATGGGATCAATCTACTTGATTCACCAAACTTATACAACTGAAAACATTCCGTGCAAGTAATTATTATTATTATTTTTGTAAATATTTGCTAGTGAAAAAAACTGAAATTCAGCAAAATGAATACTATCTGCTGTAGGTAACCAGTGTTGCTATGGTAACGAGGACTTGCATCAAGCGGAGATGACTCTGAGCACGTCCAGGACCAATAAATTCATATTGAAGAAGCTATACCCATTTTATTTTTTTTTTATGAGTTCATAAAAATGCATATTACTACATACAAGTTGTATTTTTATCCGTAATTTAATTGAAAACTTGAGCTCATTGATTCAGCTGTGTATGAATTCAGGCTGTAAAAAGTGTTTAGTAGAAACTTAGCGTGACGCCTCGTTCTGTGAGTTTCTACTAAACCTCTAGCCTCTACAGCGCTGCTAAACACAGCAGCATGTTAGCAGAATTGGCTATAACTCCTCTGGCTGTAGCTGACACAGCAAAACAGTCCAAACGACGCAACAGTGAGAAAGAGAAGAGGGAACTAAAGTGAAAAAAATATCAAAGAAGAAATCAAGCCCGGGTGAACATAGCTAGCTTACATCGTATCCTCTGGAGAGACCAGCGGGAGCGGGACTGCCATGGACTATCTATGGTCGGACCAGGGCTGGACTGGGACAAAAAAACGGCCCGGGCATTTTTTCCTTTTTAGCGGCCCAGGCAACTCAAAAGGTTCAAGGAGCCATATTTGACAAAAAAAAAAAAAAAAAACAGCGTTGTATAAGGCTTATATGAAGGTAACAGGGGCTGAAGCTGTATTAGCTACATTAGCTACATTAGCTATATTAGACTAATATCTAAATGACAAAGTAAAGGCTAAACACATAAAAACCATCCATGATTATCAAATTGGTATTTTCACTGCAGCGTGTCCTGGAGAGAATGACGCACCACGTGACAACTCTGCTTTAACTTTAACCTTCTTGCAATTGTACAAATACAGTAAATAAATCTGCTTTTTGGCTCCGAGTTCACCTGCATCACTGTCTGTTCATATCGATCACATCACAGGCTGAAGTTTGCTGGAGCTGAATGTCCTTAATGGCCTTTTCTTTCACCGTCTTTGAGAAGGTATTTGAAGTTTGAAAATAGGTGCTCTGACTTTATGATGAATGAATCTTTCAGTGAACAGTGTTTAAAGCTTCATTGTTCCTCCTGTTGCAACAAAACTTTTCATTACATCGCAAACATGAAGCAGTCCTTCCTCATTGACTGAAAGCAAATGTTCATTCTCATTCTTAGTCCAGTCTTATTATCGACTCTCTCTCTTTATCTTTGGGATCCATGCGCACACACAGTCTATAATGTTTGTTTACAGCAGCGGCCGCCTGGCACGGGCCGCGTCACAGGATATGACGCACTTGACAGAAATGCTAAAATTGAATATTACTTATACAAGTTTTTGCAGCATTGAAAAACGTTAAGAATGTTTTTCCTCCTACAGAAACCACATTGAAACAAATAAAATATAGCCCTCACACTCCATTTTCAGACATTTTTGAAAAGGCTCCAGGAGCCACTTTAGGGGCACTAAAGGTTGCCGACCCCTGGTTTATACAGTATGTGGAAGCAAATACTGTAGAGGATCAGGATGTCTGCAGTTTCAACAATAAAATAAAGAGCAATAGTCTACATTAAACCGAGTAATAAACATGTCTCAGAGTGAGGGAGGTGGACACACTATTGTTTGTTACAGGGATGAGAATTGGTAAACATTTATGAAATGCATACAGTATTGTCAGCCATTTGCTGGCTCTAAATCTGTTTAATCTGTTCACAACATTTTACTTTTGGGCTCAAACATGAACTTTTAATGCAATAGAAAATTTAGGTACCCGAGCTTTAATTTAGAGGAGAGGGGAGACGCGGACTGTTTTCTGCATTGGTGTATTTATTGGGTGCACAAATTACTCAAAGACATGCATGGTCCTGTGCGCGTTTATGGTCTTGGCTACGCGCTCGCCGTGTTGTGTTGTGAGCGGTTCCTGCGTCCAGCTCAGAGCCGCTGGATGCGGGAACACTGCGGCCGCTGAGGTGGTGGAATCCCGTTCGAGTACATGCAGCAGGTGCCCGCGGACACGCGCGCTCCCCTCGAACAGTTCTCAACGGATTTACACTTTTCACAAACATGTTTTTTGTATGAGGCAGACAGACCGGCCCAAATATGGGCATTGGCCCTTCGGGCATTGCCCGGTACGCCCGATGGCCAGTCCAGCCCTGGGTCGGACCATATTTGGACACGGAACTAGCGGTAATCTTTCAGTTATATATATTGTTAGCAGTGCGTTGCTTTTGTACCATTTCATCAGAGATTGTTGTACAGCTAACCAGAAGTTGCGCTCATGCTAATGTTTGCATATAGATCGCAAATTTAAACTAGATGGCTCCGTGGAATGAGAGCGTAGGGGAAATGAGAAGCCTGTGAGCGAGTTGAGGGCGGTGCTAAACATTCAAACCCTGCAGAAACGGGTATTGCTCCTTTAAATAAATTACATAGATATTAACTACATATAGAAACAGACACAGTTATGAAGACCAAAAACATACATAAGAAAAAAAAGTACACTTCCAAAACGAAAAGCTGATAAATTGACTGCTTAGTTGCTCTGTTTTCTACTTTAGGGGTCCCGGTCTGAAAAGTTTAGGTGCCCCTGGTGTGGAGCATTGTGTCGAATGTCCCAATATCTATGAACCAGACTGAACAAGAGTTGATTCACAACAAGGGATTTGACTAAACATGAGAAAAAACAGTCTCTTTAAAAGCAATCAATACTATTAGCTACAAGTTTTATGGTGATTTTTTCTAAATTCTAATGAAGCGTATCTTGTGTCCAGCACTGACACTGAGGGTATGATTTGGCAGAATAAACTGTCTCTTTTCATGGCTGAGTGTAACGACTGTAATGAGTGAGCGGAGAGAGCAGATGTTTGGGCACCTGAGGCCATCGCCACTGCCGTACGACCACCCCCAATGTAAGAACGGCATCAGGAGCATCTGCCCTGTCATTTAGTCCTGCTTTAGACCTGTTTTAGACCAACCTTATTCCTGCTTTAGTCCAGCTTTAGATCTGCTGTAGTCCTGATTTAGTCCTGATTCAGTCCTAGTTTGGTTGTCCTGCTTTAGTCCTAAAGCAGGGTTAAGCACCGTGCCGTCCTAAAGCGGGCGGCACGGTGGCTGAGTGGATAGCACTCTCGCCTCTCAGCAAGAAGGTCCTGGGTTCGAATCCCTGTCGGACCAGGGCCTTTCTGAGTGGAGTTTGCATGTTCTCCCCGTGTCTCCCCGTGTCTACGTAGGTTTCCTCCGGGTGCTCCGGTTTCCCCTACCACTAAAAATATGTCCAATAGTTCTGGCATGCGCCTCCTGTACTGGCGACCCCGCTCCCATCTCTGTGTGGAGTGAGAGACAAATGCCCAAAATTAACAATTGTAAACCGCTTTGAGACTCAGATCTGCAGTGAAAAGGCGGTATATAAATAAAGATTACTTTAGTCCTGTTTTAGACCAGTTTTTTCCTGCTTTTGTCCAGCTTTAGACTCCTTAAATCCTGCTTTAGTCCTTTTTTGACCTGCTTTAAACCAGATTTTGTCCTACTTTAGACCTAGACCCTCTGAGGTACAGACTCTCTCTGGGTCTGAACCTTTAATTATTATCATTAGACTCAGACAGTGTGGAGAGGGCTAAGATCATGTTTGAGAATTTACTAATGTAATCTGGACTGTGACCGCTTCTGGTTCCATCCTCACCTGGTTTTAGCTTTTCTTCTGGGCTCGAAGTGGAAAGTGTTAACATTATCACGTGATATCATGGAAAGAAGAGACAGTGGTGATAATCCAGGACACTTCACATTCAACAACATTGGTCTCTGCCCCTTATGGACAAACTTCTCGATGTGGTTTTTTGCCGTTGCATTTCCTGTATTTGAACGATTTCTCTGATCTGTGTTTGAGCGTTGTAAAGTCCTCAGAAATAACTACTGTTGTAATTTAGGGCGATACATAAATAAATTGAATTGAAGAGACCTGATCACGTCCACAGTCTGTTTGTGTTTGGAAAAGCGCTGGCCGCAGAGACAGCACACAAACAGACACAAAGAGGACCTGAACTTTAAGAATGAATGAATTAAAGGTGAAGCTACATGCCCTGTGGGGACTTGGAGACAATCGCTGAATATTCTGTTTGTGCTTGGTTGGAAGCAGTGAAGGAAAAATGGTTTGATGATAAAATGGAGGACACACAATGGAGGAGTTATGGTGCTTTCAGACCTACAACGCTGAAACGCTGAAGCCCCGCTCACCAGACGCAGAGGACTTCACACCAGAACGTCCTGACGCGAACCGGAAGTACCGGAAGTAGCCGGCCGGCTCTGATGCTAACAGAGCTATGCTAGCGGCTTCTTGTGTACAAGGGGCGGCACGGTGGCTGAGTGGATAGCACTCTCGCCTCTCAGCAAGAAGGTCCTGGGTTCGAATCCCGGTCGGACCAGGGCCTTTCTGAGTGGAGTTTGCATGTTCTCCCCGTGTCTGCGTAGGTTTCCTCCGGGTACTCCAGTTTCCCCTACCACTAAAAACATGTACAATAGGTCTGGCATGTGCCTCCTGTACTGGCGACCCCGCTCCCATCTCTGTGTGGAGTGAGAGGACAAGTGCCCAAAAATAACAAATGTAAACCGTTTTGTGACTCTGGTCTGTGAAAGGCGGTATATAAATAAAGCTTACTTACTTACTTCTTGTGTACAGATCTTCTCCAATATGCAGCTTTGCAGCGTGTCTTTGCTCACAGACATTCCACGGCCTTTATACAACAGCAGTATGTGTTCACGGAGATGCGTGATAAGTTTTTTTTGTATGTTTTTTGTGTGTCGAACACACTCAAAGCAGTTGCATAAGGTCACGGGAGCATGACAACGCACATGTTCACAAGCACAGAGTCCCCCATTGTCAGCCCTGGTTTGAGTTCTGGTGAAGTCTGGTGTGGGTCCTGTTTTGGCTGTTTACAGTATTTTCAGTCTGCTCGCTCAGTCCGCTAATGTCCCCGTGACCACTTTGCTGCTCTCTGATTGGTTGCTGCACAAACGTCCCCAGGAAAGGATGAGCAGAATCCATCTCCTGTGGGCGTCCATTTTTCGCTCCTGCTCCTCCCTTTTCACTTTCCCGTCAAGTCCGTGCGTCTCGACTGAACAGTCCGTCTGTGCCGAGAGGTCTGTGCGTTGTGACGGTCGAACGCTCGTCACCATCAACTTTGCATTGAAACCCGACGCTGAAAGAACCATTATACCTCTATCTCACTCCTCCTCACTCCTCCTCACACCTCTTCCTCACACCTCTTCCTCACACCTCCTCACACCTCTTCCTCACACCTCTTCCTCACACCTCCTCACACCTCTTCCTCACACCTCTTCCTCACACCTCTTCCTCACACCTCTTCCTCACTCCTCCTCACACCTCTTCCTCACTCCTCCTCACTCCTCCTCACTCCTCTCTAGGCTCGTCACATGTGTTCCATGTGACGAGCCTAGAGCTCACTCCTCCTCACACCTCCTCACTCCTCCTCACACCTCTTCCTCACACCTCCTCACACCTCTTCCTCACACCTCTTCCTCACTCCTCCTCACTCCTCCTCACACCTCCTCACACCTCTTCCTCACACCTCTTCCTCACACCTCCTCACACCTCTTCCTCACACCTCTTCCTCACACCTCCTCACACCTCTTCCTCACACCTCTTCCTCACTCCTCCTCACTCTTCCTCACACCTCCTCACACCTCTTCCTCACACCTCTTCCTCACTCCTCCTCACTCCTCCTCACTCCTCCTCACACCTCCTCACACCTCTTCCTCACACCTCCTCACACCTCCTCACACCTCTTCCTCACACCTCTTCCTCACTCCTCCTCACTCCTCCTCACACCTCCTCACTCCTCCTCACTCCTCCTCACTCCTCCTCACTCCTCCTCACTCCTCCTCACACCTCTTCCTCACACCTCCTCACACCTCTTCCTCACTCCTCCTCACACCTCCTCACTCCTCCTCACACCTCCTCACACCTCTTCCTCACTCCTCCTCACTCCTCCTCACACCTCCTCACTCCTCCTCACTCCTCCTCACTCCTCCTCTTCCTCACTCCTCCTCACTCCTCCTCACACCTCCTCACTCCTCCTCACTCCTCCTCACACCTCTTCCTCACACCTCCTCACCCTCTCACCTCTTCCTCACACCTCTTCCTCACTCCTCCTCACTCCTCCTCACTCCTCCTCACACCTCTTCCTCACACCTCCTCACACCTCTTCCTCACCCTCTTCCTCACTCCTCCTCACTCCTCCTCACACCTCCTCACTCCTCCTCACTCCTCCTCACTCCTCCTCACTCCTCCTCACACCTCTTCCTCACACCTCCTCACACCTCTTCCTCACTCCTCCTCACACCTCCTCACTCCTCCTCACACCTCTTCCTCACTCCTCCTCACTCCTCCTCACACCTCCTCACTCCTCCTCACTCCTCCTCACACCTCTTCCTCACACCTCTTCCTCACACCTCTTCCTCACTCCTCCTCACTCCTCCTCACTCCTCCTCACACCTCTTCCTCACACCTCCTCACACCTCTTCCTCACTCCTCCTCACACCTCCTCACTCCTCCTCACTCCTCCTCACACCTCTTCCTCACACCTCCTCACACCTCTTCCTCACTCCTCCTCCTCACTCCTCCTCACACCTCCTCACTCCTCCTCACTCCTCCTCACACCTCCTCACCAACCTCTTCCTCACACCTCCTCACACCTCTTCCTCACTCCTCCTCACACCTCCTCACACCTCCTCACACCTCTTCCTCACACCTCTTCCTCACTCCTCCTCACTCCTCCTCACACCTCCTCACACCTCTTCCTCACACCTCCTCACACCTCCTCACACCTCTTCCTCACTCCTCCTCACTCCTCCTCACACCTCCTCACTCCTCCTCACTCCTCCTCACACCTCCTCACACCTCCTCACACCTCCTCACAAAGACATTATATGTGACACTCTCAAATTTTGGGACTCCCAGATTTCTAAAACTACTCGAGAGCAGTAATTTTGACTCCTCCAATTATTTTAGTGAAAAATTCAAATTTATTTGATTATTAAACAAGATTCTTTGGGCCGTACAAACAGTTTTTTCAATGTGCTGGGTCTCATTCTGAATTCCACCAGATAAGATCTAGTTACCCTAGAAACACAGTTTACATGATTAAGCAACAAACTGTTTTAATGTTTGTTTTTTAATTTGTATTGACGTTATAAAAAAAAAAATGAAATGGAGAAAAGGTAAAAATCCTTGGAGTTAGGGTTACTCACTGGGACAGATTAAACTCAGAATGAAGACCTGGTTAATCAAGTGTGACATCATTAAGCAGATTGTCACACATTGAGTCAGATTGAGATACATCTTATTTTCCATCTGCAGTGTGCACCAGACAAGTACATACATAAAAAGCTAAAATATATATTGTATCTACAGTGTCTCTTTGTGGTTAAGGATGCTACATTTGACCTGTTTATTAAAGACAAACCAGCAGTGTTGTGCCAGTTCACAGCTTTTCTGAACTAGTTCAAGTTCAGTTCATACATGCTCAAAGTGAACAGTTCACGTTCAAAGTTCACATTTTTTATTCTGAACTAGTTCAAAGTTCAGTTCATTTTACTTTTTTTGTGAAATAGTCAAATGAACACATATAGTGTGAAATGAATAGTATAATATATATATATATATATATATATATATATATATATATATATATCTCCTGTACACCCACAGGAGGAGAGTCTTTTGACTACAAAACAGACCAGATTTACATGGTTTTCAATGGGAGCCAAACAGAGTGGCTCCATCTCTGCTCATAAACTACAGACAGTAATGCGCTGCAGTGCGTGTGTCTATACTTTATGTCAAATGTAAACGGTGTAAACTTTGTTGCTAACTCACCCTGTGTTTTCATCACGACTCGGGCACATGTGAAAAGCACCAGCTCACAGCGCCGCACCGCAACACGGAGTCGGGTGTGTTCACAGACGGTGGAAACCGTGGGAATTTTTAATTTTCGGCGGAAAAAGTGCGAGAATACAGGAGGGAGGAACTTTCTCTTGTTGCGTTTCAAAAGAGAAAACAGATTCCAACGTTCAAAGTGATGTCTGCCGTTCATGACATATAAAATGAACTAATTCACGTTCAAGTTATTTTTAAAAAAATGTGTTGCGTTCAGTTCAACGTTCACAAAAAAATGAGCGTGTTCAATGAACGCGTTCTTTTGAACTCGTTCACGCACAACACCGCAAACCAGTCCATTCTATTTATTAATTCCTAACATTATAAACCTGCTGTTATTTGCCTCTGCTCAGGGAAAATGAGCTCGTAGATGTGTCCGGCCTACATCAAAATACATCATTAAAGCAAACTAAGGGTAGTAGTATTCTCTGACCACTTAGTATTTGCCGAATTCCTTCAGACATGGTTCTCTCGTCTGACCTTCCCGCTCCGTCGCTGCCTAAACACTTGCTCTGTGTGAATGAACCATGTGAGCGCACAGTGTGTTCCATGTGACGAGCCTAGAGCTTTTAGAGCTATAATAAAACACAGAGCGTCCTGTGAGTCATGGAGCTGGGGGGCGAAGGGTGAGGGAGGTGAGGGGGGTGAGGATAAACAGGGATCAGACGGGACTCGAGCTGCTCTTTAAACAGGAAACAGCACTGACATGATGCTTTTGTCTAGTAACGCTAGAATTCAAAGAGCAGTCAATTTAGCGGCTTTTGGTTTTGTAAATGTTTGGTTAAAACTTTGTGGCTTTTTCTGTTTCTGTTTGTAGTTTATTTCTATGCGATTATGTTGATGAAGTTATTTGGATCCTAGCTAGACTGGATCTAGAGACTGGTTCAGAGCAATTTATTATTTATCATAGAAGCAGATTGTTAGTTAGTGAGTTTGATTCATTTTAAACCTACAGCAAATGATTTTATAGATCTTCACACTAATACAGGTTATTTTTTCCCAACCCTCTCTCACCTTTACATAATAATAATAATAATAACAATACCTTGGTTTTATACAAGACACTCAAAGACGCTTCACTTTTCATTGTTCTTTCACTCCATACACGGTGGTGATAAACTACTAATGGAGCCACAGCTGCCCTGGGGCACACTGACAGCGAGGCAAGCAGTCTGTGCCATCGGCCTCTCCCACCACCACCAACCATTCACACACACATCAGACTCATTCTAGGCAATGTGGGTGAAGTGTCTTGCCTAAGGACACAATGACAAATTTTGCACAGTGGCAATCCACAGGTCTCCCATCACAGTCCTAACCAGGCCCTGCCCTGCACAGCTTCAAAAGTCTGTCGGAATCTGGCTTTCGCACACATGCACAATACACAGAATACAATGCTACTAATAAACAAACAGAATAGAAACAGTACTTCACTAATATTTGCCCTTTAAATAATTTTATACGATGTATGTTCATCCACATCGCTGTTATCTACTTTATAATCTAAAATCTGAAAGTCCCTGCTGAGAGGTGATGTAGAGTGTAGTGTGTGTGTGTCGTACCCAGGAAGCGCACGGTGCGGCGGACCAGCGGGTTGAGGTAGCAGCAGTCGCCCATCGCCACGGTCCTGTCCGAGCGCCCGAACTCTGGGGACGTGTACTGGACCAGGAACAGGGCCGTCTCTGTCACCGTGATCTGAGGACGGGGACACACGAGAAGACCATGTGAGGACCGCACCAGGAGCATGTGAGGACCGAACCAGGAGCATGTGAGGACCGCACCAGGATCATGTGAGGACCGCACCAGGACCGTGTGAGGACCGAACCAGGAGCATGTGAGGACCGAACCAGGAGCATGTGAGGACCGCACCAGGACCATGTGAGGACCGCACCAGGACCATGTGAGGACCGCACCAGGACCGTGTGAGGACCGAACCAGGAGCATGTGAGGACCGCACCAGGACCATGTGAGGACCGCACCAGGACCGTGTGAGGACCGCACCAGGACCGTGTGAGGACCGCACCAGGACCGTGTGAGGACCGCACCAGGACCGTGTGAGGACCGCACCAGGACCGTGTGAGGACCACACCAGGAGCATGTGAGGACCGCACCAGGACCATGTCTGTAAGTAATCATTATTTATACAGCGCCTTTCACAGTCGCAAAGTGCTTTGTGAGGACCACGTGAGGACCATTTAAGGATCGTGTGAGGACCGAGCCAGAACTATGTGAGAAGCAAACCCGGACCGTGATCTGAACACAGGGAGAAACAGAAGCACTACAGAGAACCACAGTCCCGCCAGAGATCCTACACGAAGACCGGCTCTATGTTCAGGACTGAGGCTGTAGCACCAAGACTGAGACTGTAGAACCAGGACTGAGGCTGTAGCACCGGGACTGAGGCTGTGGATCCAGGACTGAGGCTGTAGATCCAGGACTGAGGCTGTAGATCCAGGACTGAGGCTGTAGATCCAGGACTGAGGCTGTAGATCCAGGACTGAGGCTGTAGATCCAGGACTGAGGCTGTAGACCCAGGACTGAGGCTGTAGACCCAGGACTGAGGCTGTAGATCCAGGACTGAGGCTGTAGACCCAGGACTGAGGCTGTAGACCCAGGACTGAGGCTGTAGATCCAGGACTGAGGCTGTAGATCCAGGACTGAGGCTGTAGATCCAGGACTGAGGCTGTAGAATACTTTGCATACTACGGTGAACGAATGCATTTAAATTTTATCCCTGTTCTTAATAAAAATAAAAAAATCTCACTGCTTGCATCATGAGAAAAACAGTTCTTATATAATTTTGGAAAAACAGTATTAATTCTTCTGATAAAGTCTCAACACAGGTGTCCAGACTTAAACCTGTCTGCACACACAGGACCTTGTGGTTGTTGTATTGGGCTTTTCTCAACAGTGACAAACTAATGCGACGGCAGTAAAATGCAGCGCCAGAGCTAAACACTGAAATAGGAATGAGTCAGAAAAGGCCTGATCTTTCTCAAGGTTTTTTTTTTTTTGCAGTATGCGTCAGAATAAACAAGTCCCAAATGTGCTTTTCAGTCCCAGACCTGATGTGTGATGTGTGGACTTTTGGACTACTTTTACCTGGTTTTATTTGGATATTGGTAACTTCATGTCTGTCCTGCCCTAATGTGTTTCCTCTGTTTATCTGTGTGTATTGAAACCCTGTGCTCCTCTCCCATTGTAGTTGGTCCATTGTGTTTTTGTTCCTGTTTCTTCTTGATTTTGAAGTTCTGTCATTTACCGGGTTTTGTTATTTTTGAAATTTTGTGAATTACATTTTATATTTGGCCTTTTTGGGTCCTTTTTTACCTTGTATCTCCTGAGCCACATCCACACGGTTCACATCAGCCCACAACCCTTTGAACACATCTGCCTGCTCCAGACCAAAGAGGAAACATTCAAGAATAGTAACTTTCTTTGACAGATTTGGAATGAGCGTATAAGTTCAAATGTATGTTTTGACAGACAAAACCACACTGGGCCATGAGAGAAACTAAAAATATTCCGTTACATTGTCCAATCAGAGAACTGTAATCTGAATACTTACATAATGCATACTTGTTTTTTATTGTGCAGCACATTGTGCAATATGAATAAAGTGGATTGGATTGGATACTTTGATCGCATTATAAGTCAAGGAGAACAGTTTTGTTTCAATCCTCAGCTGCTTAGAATCTATTTTTAAGAACAAAATAAAACAACAATGCTTGAATTAATGTTTAAAGGTCCCATATTACGTGTTCTGACTTTCCCCTGCTTTAAACATGATTACAGAGCTGTTTGGCTTCATGCACAGCGCCCAGAGTAGTCTTTTCATTGATTCCTTCAAGCTTTAGTTAGAGAGCGATCTTTCTCTGTCATTCTCCAGAGGCCACGTCTGTGACGAACACAACATCGATGCAGAAGTTTGTCTTTTTATTTCAAAATGGAAACGAAGTCCGCGACGAATGTTTTTCTGTGGGTGACACTTCACTAAAGACTGTTCCAGAAAGACGGTTTCTTCAAACTGGACTTACTCAAAAGCTGATCTGGAAACTCACGATAAAAGACATTAACACGAAGCCCCGATCTGTAAGTACAGTGCAACTTGCCGTATCATTCTGTGAACGAAACAATCAGGGTCTGATGGGGCATTCAGACCAACAACACTGGAACGCAGCTTCTGCGTGCACCATACGCACATTCACTAAACTTCAGATGCAGGGGTGTTCAGACTAGAAGTCCTGGCCTGTGGTGGCGCCTGCTGGATGTGGCGGAAGTAGCGGGCGGGTTTTGAGGCTAACGAAGTCTTCTCCAATAATGCAGCTCTGTGTACAGAGACCTTCCAGAGACTTTATTTAACAGCAGTATGTGTTCACGGAGGTGCGCCATACGTTTACTTTATTATTAAACGGTGCTTCCGCATCGGCGAACACACTTGAAGCAGTTGCATAAAGTCACGGGAGCATGAAAACTCACATGTTAACAAGCACTAGGTCCCTCATTGTCAACCCTGGTTTAGTCCTGGTTTAGTCCTGGTGTAGCTCCTGTTTCGACTGTTTACAGTATGTTCAGTCTGCTCGCTCAGACCGCTATTGTCCCCGTGACCATTTTGCGTCACTCTGATTGGTCACTGCACGAGCGCCCGAGGAAACTTTCAGCAATATTTATCTCCTGCATGCGTTAATTTTCCGCTCCTGCTCCTCTGCCGCGCAGTCCGTGCGTGCATTCCGAGACGCACATGCAGTTCCACGCTCGAACGCGCATCACCATTGACTTTGCATTGAAAGTCGCCGCAACGCATGATCCGGTCTGAACGTGGCATTAGTCTAGATTGAAGACAAAGAGAAACCTTTAGAAATCCGTACTAAAAGAAAATAAGTGCCTATGTGGACAGGACTTTATCTTACACAAACTACTGCAGTGAATGCAAATGGTTTACCAAGAACCATTTTCAAGACTTTTAAGATCAAACTCAGGAGCAGACCCATCGACTTAATGTGATCTCTCAAATCCAAATCACTAAAAAATAATGAGAATTCCGTCTTTGTGCTGCAGACTCTTGTTAGTCCAATTCCGATGCACATTCCCGGCTCTCCTGGCGGCTCCTCGTGTGCTCAGCCTTGAGTCATGGCGGAGCCGGGCAGACTGCGCCTGGAGCCATATGTCCCACTTTCTGCATCGGCCTAACCAGAGCTGACGGCTAACTGGGCCATCCCTCACACGCGGTTACTCTGCAGCCTGTCGACCGGGCGCTCTGAGGTGAGTCCTGGAGGACAGAACGCTGACAGTATTTGGACAAAGTGACAATGGCCTTTTTCACACATGCCACCTCCAGAGAGCGGCATCAGTGTTGGGGCTCGTCTTTGGTGAACAGAAAACATGTGCTTCGTATTCTTAAAGTAGAAATATGTAAGATTTTCATGTCAAGTTATCATTAATGTCCCTAATCTGTCAAAAGGTATTTTGACATCATGTTCTTTTCCAATACTTCTTTAACTGATAAACGTAATTCAGGCAAAATATTTGAATTTCAAAAATGTCACAGCCCCTAAATCTGTTTTAATATGTTTTAATTTCAATGTCCCGCCCTCCACTGTTTCACCAATCAGAAAGTCTGTGATCCGATTCACTGATAAAGTAACATGCGGCCGCAGAACTAAAAAGGTCATGTTATGATTCTCAAATCATTAATGACAAAACCAGGAATAAAACAAGGATTTCTATCTTTGTGAAAAGGTGTTGGTTATAGATTTGTAACGGGACAATAGTTAATTGTTTTGTTTTTTAAATGTTTACAAAATTAAAAAACTCTCTTGAAGTTGGATCAACTCATTTAAGATGCATGTCTCGGTCTCCCGGATGTTGGCTACTTGGGTGTTTAGGTCAAATTTTATAAAATCATCATAAATCATCAAATAAATGTTGAGTGAATTTTTCCTTTGGAATTGTTAAACACATTGAAAAAAGTTCAGTGAAAATTCAGTGCCTTAAAGTCAGAGAGAAAAATAAATCAAATATTGGTTTTCAGAGCTAAGATAAAGATAAAATACAAGCACATTTAAAATTCAAATTCCATATGCAGGTGGACTGTCACTTCCAAATGTATAAAGTTAGTGATCTCATGTTAACATATGTGATTTATAAATGATTTATTGGATAAGTGTACACAATCAACATATGAAACACTGCAACTCATTTGCAATGTCCTTAAGTGACGGATATCATGGATAACGTCACAGTCCTGCTGTGTCCTATATGTACTAAGGCTGTATTTGAGAAAGTGATGATGGGATGAAAACCCAGTGTGGTGGGTGTAGTGTGACCCAAAGTGGCAAAAACAATTATTTATTCAAAAAAAATGATGCGATTAACTTAATTACACTCATGAACATCAAAGTGAATTCTGAATCTTCTGCTTTGATTGTGCATAATATCTGCTGTTTTCAGTATCCCCATATCAATCCTGATTCTCTTTGTTTTAATGCCATTAGCCAAACATTCATGAAAAACTACTGCAGCTCAACAGCTACATACACTAAGTATCATCTACACCTGCTTTGCACCCTCCACCATTCATTGAGATGCATGCGCGCGTGTGTGTGTCTCTGTGTGTGTGTGCGTGTGTGTGTCTCTCTGTGTGTGTGTGCATGTCTGTGTGCGTGTGTGTGATGTCATGGCCTCACCAGCAGCGTGGGCAGCCCTGCCACCAGGGCGTAGAGCAGCACCGGAGGCACCGCGCTGCTGTCCTCGGGGCCCAGGTAGGGTTTGGTGTAGGCGCTGTCGTAGCAGAAGAAGCCCTGGACGTGCACGCTGAAGGTATCCGTGTACTCGAAGTAGTAGGCCAGCATGATGGTCCCGGCCATGATCACCATCTGGAAGTAGAGCATGGTAGAGCTGAGCGGTGTCGGGGCTCCACACAACGCGGTCCCTTTGGATTCTACGCGCGCCCTCCTCCGCCGCCGCCCCCCCACGACAGCCGCATGTCCCCGCTGTTGAGTCTCTGTGGCCGTGTGCGGGTCGGAGGATGCGGTGCGTGTGCGAGTGTGCGAGTGGCTGGATGGCCCCACCCCCGCGCACTTGCTCGCTCAGGGGAGGACAGGGGGGAGAGAGAGTGAATGGGAGTGAATGGAAGGTGCGCAACAGCAGACGCGCGTCGAGACGGCCTTTCATTGTCACACTCAGGATCTATGTATGTGCAAGGTCCATGTGTGTCTATGTATGTGCAAGGTCCATGTGTGTCTATGTATGTGTAAGGTCCATGTGTGTCTATGTATGTGTAAGGTCCATGTGTGTCTATGTATGTGTAAGGTCCATGTGTGTCTATGTATGTGTAAGGTCCATGTGTGTCTATGTATGTGCAAGGTCCATGTGTGTCTATGTGCAGTATGTGTAAGGTCCATGTGTGTCTATGTATGTGCAAGGTCCATGTGTGTCTGTGTATATGCAAGGTCCATGTGTGTCTGTGTATATGCAAGGTCCATGTGTGTCTGTGTATGTGTAAGGTCCATGTGTGTCTGTGTATGTGCAAGGTCCATGTGTGTCTATGTATCTGCAAGGTCCATGTGTGTCTATGTATGTGTAAGGTCCATGTGTGTCTATGTATGTGTAAGGTCCATGTGTGTCTGTGTATATGCAAGGTCCATGTGTGTCTGTGTATATGCAAGGTCCATGTGTGTCTGTGTATATGCAAGGTCCATGTGTGTCTGTGTATGTGCAAGGTCCATGTGTGTCTGTGTATATGCAAGGTCCATGTGTGTCTGTGTATGTGCAAGGTCCATGTGTGTCTGTGTATGTGCAAGGTCCATGTGTGTCTGTGTATGTGCAAGGTCCATGTGTGTCTATGTATGTGCAAGGTCCATGTGTGTCTATGTATGTGTAAGGTCCATGTGTGTCTATGTATCTGCAAGGTCCATGTGTGTCTATGTATGTGTAAGGTCCATGTGTGTCTATGTATGTGTAAGGTCCATGTGTGTCTATGTATGTGCAAGGTCCATGTGTGTCTATGTGCAGTATGTGCAAGGTCCATGTGTGTCTGTGTATATGCAAGGTCCATGTGTGTCTGTGTATATGCAAGGTCCATGTGTGTCTATGTATGTGCAAGGTCCATGTGTGTCTGTGTATATGCAAGGTCCATGTGTGTCTGTGTATATGCAAGGTCCATGTGTGTCTATGTATGTGCAAGGTCCATGTGTGTCTATGTATGTGTAAGGTCCATGTGTGTCTATGTATGTGTAAGGTCCATGTGTGTCTATGTATGTGTAAGGTCCATGTGTGTCTATGTATGTGCAAGGTCCATGTGTGTCTATGTACAGTATGTGTAAGGTCCATGTGTGTCTATGTATGTGCAAGGTCCATGTGTGTCTGTGTATATGCAAGGTCCATGTGTGTCTGTGTATATGCAAGGTCCATGTGTGTCTATGTATGTGCAAGGTCCATGTGTGTCTGTGTATGTGCAAGGTCCATGTGTGTCTGTGTATGTGCAAGGTCCATGTGTGTCTGTGTATGTGCAAGGTCCATGTGTGTCTGTGTATATGCAAGGTCCATGTGTGTCTGTGTATATGCAAGGTCCATGTGTGTCTGTGTATGTGCAAGGTCCATGTGTGTCTGTGTATGTGCAAGGTCCATGTGTGTCTATGTATCTGCAAGGTCCATGTGTGTCTATGTATGTGTAAGGTCCATGTGTGTCTATGTATGTGTAAGGTCCATGTGTGTCTATGTATGTGTAAGGTCCATGTGTGTATCTATGTATGTGCGAGGTCCATGTGTGTCTGTGTATATGCAAGGTCCATGTGTGTCTGTGTATATGCAAGGTCCATGTGTGTCTATGTATGTGTAAGGTCCATGTGTGTCTATGTATGTGCGAGGTCCATGTGTGTATCTATGTATGTGCGAGGTCCGTGCGTGAAGATACGGTCAAAATTATTATTCTTTTTAATCCAACCTTTATGGAAAATACCCAATGAGATTGAGAGTCCTGGCCAAGAGGTCTGTGGGACACGTCACGGGCACTTCACAGAACAATAAAACAATACAATGTTAATACAAAATAGAAACAGTGAAACTACAAAACATTTACATCATCCAATAAAGTTAAAGGCAACAATATGACAAGTTAAAGTTTAAAAGTATGTATGTGAGGTTTCTGTGTCACCTGTTTCCAAAACTTATCGCGTCTGACGTTGTGTTCTGTAATGTTTTTTTCAAAATCCGTGTCAACTATTCGTGTCCGATGTATTCTTTGTAAAATCTTTTATTATTATATGGGGCGACAGTAGCTCAGTTGGTAGAGCATTGGCCTTAAGCCCAGAAGGTTGTGGGTTCAATTCCCACCTCGACACCTTCTCCACCGACTCCCACTGATGACTGCTGTCGTTGTGTCCTTGGGCAAGACACTTAACCCCACTTTGCCCAAAGCCCCCACTAAAAGATCAAGGCTATGCTCACACTCAGAGAGCAGCCGTCCTCCTGTGGACTCACCACCTGCAGAGGGTCAGTGAGGGGCTGGTGCTATGAGACTTGGGTGGCATCTCTGACTGCCACCCCCCTGACCCAGAAATGGATTAAAGGGTAGAAAATGGATGGATGGATGGATGGATCTTTTATTATTTTTTCATCATGATTTCCTCCTCAAACTCCCTTGTGCTGTCCACATGAGCCAGGGCTGGTCAAGATAGGAAAAATCATCAAAATTCAGTTAAAAAATTATTATTATTTTGTGTATTTTCAATCACTGTGTCAATTCGACACACTGGTTTTAGTTTATTTCAAGATGTCAGGATCGAGTGGTTTAACGACACAGCTAGTTTCCATCTGCAGTCCCTGGTTACAAGAACACAATATTCACACGAGTATCTGCAACTGTATAATGCAATCACATTCTCCAAACATGATCCAAACAACTCTATGTATCACGCACAAAGCTGGCGCAAACCCAATCCCACCCATTCTTGTCAATTTCACATGTTTACCTCTACACTTTTCTTTGAAGTTCCCAAACATGGCATAAAACAATAATAATGAAAGCCAGTCCCAAGTGTCACTGTGTTCATCAAGGATCTCCTAAATATAATAACATAACATCACTTTGAGGTTGTAGAAGCATAACTTGTTGACACTTGGACAGAGAAAGTTTGACATTTTCTGAGGTTCTAACTGCAGCTATATTCACAATCCAAACAGTAAAACGTATGAAATAGAGTGCCCATAGGTGGCGCTGTAGCAGTGATAAAAGGATTAACAGTGTTCCAGCGTTTGTGAATGATATTGTAGCCTGACCAAGTTAGTGCACTGAATCTCATTTACCTTTCTTTGTGTTTAAATGATCCAATGCTGTGTCCAACAGGTGGCGCTATCCATAGTTTAGAGTGGGCTTTTTCCGTTTTGCTCAGGCCATGATCACATCATAGTGATTGTATTTCTTGCTCTTTAGGTCTCGGAGTGTGACCCAGAATAAAATCAATCAAGTACCTCATAATAGTTTGTTTATTTATTATTTTGAGCAATCATAAAGTGTCTTGAAGGTGCAGGATGGTGCCGTGGAGGCAGGTGCAGGATGGGTGTAGATGGGTGGAGATGGGTGCCTCCAGAAGGGGCAGAGCCACAGGCAGCAGTGTGACCCACATACGAGCTGCTCCATGTGCTCAGAGCTCCTTGTTTTCACTACAGTGAAAAATATGTCTGCATGAGAAAGACTGAGGGAACAACAACCAATTATGATTTCATGGTGGAGTGAGAGAGGGCAGGACTGTGGCTTATTTTAGAATCTCACATTTGCACTTATTTCTGCTCATGACTTATTCCATGTTTGGGTGCTCCTCATTCCTCGTGTTCTGTGACACGTGACACAAGAGTCTCTTCATCTTTATCATTCCTGCTCATGTTCTGTCAAATGGACATCTTCTCTCCAAGGCCCGTTTAATTCAAACTGAATATTTCACGTTGACCAGTGCTGTGCTGCTACAGTGGGCAACAACCAGGTCTAGAGCAGGACCAGGACTCAGTTTGCAGATTGATGGGGCTGAACACATCTCCCACAGCCTGGAAACGGCACAATATTCTGTAGAAAATTACATTATATACAGGGTTGGATTATATGGCCAAAAAATTAAATTGCAATATGAGAAGAAAAGATCACAATAATGATTTCACTCACAATATACATAGCCTTGGGAAAAAACTTCAAAACTTTATAAACCTGCATTCAGTAAATTCACAATCTTTTGATGGAAAGATGTATTGAAGAGAAGATGGATTGTTCAGGTAGAGTGAATCTGCGGAGAGGCTGAGGATGATACAGTGATGTCACCGTCTAATGCCAGTAAACCTGCAGCTCTATAAAGAAAGTCAATAACTGCAGCGACAACAGGCAGCCGTACTGTCCCCTTTGAGATTTCAATGACAAGGATTAATTATGGATCATGATTGAAGAAGATGAGCTGTTGTAAAGCTGTCCAGATAAACAAACAGCTACTAACAGCTACTAACTGCTACTAACAGTTACTAGTTAGTAACAGTTACTAGTAAGTAAGTAAGTAACTGTATAAATAAAGCTTACTTACTTACTTACTTAACAGTTACTAACAGCTACCAACAGTTACTAACAGCTACTGACAGCTAATAACCGCTACTAACCACTACTGACAGCTACTAACAGCTACTAACAGTTACTAACAGCTACTGACAACTAATAACAGCTACTAACCGCTACTAACTGCTACTAACAGCTACTGACAGCTACTAACAGCTACTGACAACTAATAACAGCTACTAACCGCTACTAACTGCTACTAACAGCTACTGACAGCTACTAACAGCTACTAACAGCTACTAACAGCTACTGACAGCTACTAACTGCTACTAACAGCTACTAACAGCTACTAACAGCTACTAACAGCTACTGACAGCTACTAACTGCTACTAACAGCTACTAACAGCTACTAACCGCTACTAACAGCTACTAACAGCTACTGACAGCTACTAACAGCTACTAACAGCTACTGACAGCTACTAACCGCTACTGACAGCTACTAACAGCTACTGACAGCTACTAACTGCTACTAACAGCTACTAACAGCTA